GCTACATTCACTCCTCAAGGAGGAAGCACCTTCGAGTGCTTACCTGTGGGTGTAGCTTCATGTTAAATGTATACATTAAAAAGGTAAGTTTATGAGACTGTCAAGTTTTTTGCTTAACAGGACGCCTCCTGCTCACATTTCATTGACATCATCAGTGTTTCAGTTCTCCTGCTTTCTTTTTTTTTAATGATTTATTCATTTTTATTGCAAGTCAGATATACAGAGAGGAGGAACAGAGAGGAAGATCTTTCACCCGATGGTTCATTCCTCAAGTGAGCACAATGTCCGGTGCTGCACAGATCCGAAACCAGGAGCCAGGAACCTCCTCCAGGTCTTCTATGCAGGTGCAGGGTCTCAAAGCCTTGGGCCGTCCTTGACTGCTTTCCCAGGCCACAAGTAGGGAGCTGAATGAGAAGCGGGGCGTCCAGGATTAGAACTGGTGCCCATATGGGATCTCGGCGTGTGCAAGGCGAGGACTTTAGTCGCTAGGCCCTTTATTTTTTATTATTATTTTGTTTCTCTAGGCCCTTTAAACACTGATCTGCAGTGTTTGATAGTTAAGGGAGTGAGTTTTCTTTTTTTTTTAGAGATTTATTTTTATTATTTTTTCATTGGAAAGGTGGATATACAGAGAGGAGAGACAGAGAGGAAGATCTTCCGTCCGATGATTCACTCCCCAAGTGAGCGCAACGGGCCGATACTATGCCGATCCGAAGCCAGGAGCCTCTTCTGGGTCTCCCACGCGGGTGCAGGTTCCCAAAGCTTTGGGCCGTCCTCGACTGCTTTCCCAGGCCACGGGCAGGGAGCTGGAAGGGAAGCGGGGCTGCCGGGATTAGAACCGGCGCCCATATGGGATCCCGGGCGTGCAAGGCAAGGACCTTTAACCACTTGCGCCACCGCGCCGGGCCCGGGAGTGAGTTTTGTAATGCCACCTCTCAGAAGCTGGCTTTTTCCTGCCAACCCTTCACAATGGTTTTTGTTGCCCTAAGTTGTTAAGTGATGAAAAAATCCTGTTCATAAATTCTGTCCGTCCTTTGTCATAACATCTCATAGGGGGCACAAATTCTGGGTTAGTTACTCATTAGGCGGGCTAGCCCTAGCCAGGAGTGGAGCTGGCTGGCCTAAACAGGGGAAAGACGAGCCAACAGGTCAAGCTGTGAGAAGAGGCGCCTATTTGAGCTGCTTTTACTTTTAGAAAACATTGATTGCACTTGCTGCTAGCTGAGACACAGGGAATGAGTGATCCTCCTCAAGAACTCTTTTTCTACGCTTGGTAAGAGATGAAAACATCAAAGATTTTTAAAGCACCTTTTGGGCTACTGACTGGCTACGTATCTTAATTCTTTGACATATTGCAATACAGAAACGGTTAGAAGGTCTTGATGTACCACAGTTAACTCTTCCTTCTCACATTGCATCTTCTTCCATGGACAGGACCAAAAAGAGGACAGACCGAAACGATCGCTGTGGAAACGAATCCCATGAGCTGTTTCTGCCTTGCTGCCATCTGGGGCACGCTGTGCTCAGCTCTCAGATGCGGACAGACACAGATTCACCAAGATCTCCCTCACTAACCTGGTGTTTATTAACTGCCTAAAATGCCCTAAGCAAACATTCCCCTTGCATGTGGGTGAAATTTAGTTCTGGGAATTCGCTCTAATTCCCACATGACTGAGGAGAACAAGGCAACTCTGGCATCGACTTGTTCAGGCGTAATAACGGCGTGTGCACACCACTTGCTCTTTGGGAAGCCACTCTCTGGGAAGCCATGAGTGTCACCTTGTGGCTGCCTTTGCGTGTGAAGCCCTGCTCCCCTCTTCCAGGCCCAGCAGCCGGGAACACACTCCGAGTCCCCATGCAGCCAGCTGGGCTGCTACCAGCAATGACAGCCTTGATGCTAATGCCTGGCCTGTGGTGTAGTCATTGTACACAGCATTTCCACAGGATCGTACGAAAGCCTCTTAGGAACATGTTCAAACATTGTCTAGAAAGGAGCAAACACTCACCGTAGGCCCACAGAACTGCAGGCTGTACTCAAACATATACTCTTTGGGTTAAACTGCTCAGATAAAACAACTGTAGATAAAGATGAGAGTTTGTGACCAGCCAGGCAGATTGGGGTCATCAGACATGGAACTCCTGGAGGAAGCAGACAGCTAGGTGATGCTTTGTCTACCTTTGACCAGCCTCTAGCTGAGCGTTGAGCTATTCTCACTCCCGGAAGCCTCTGCAGTTAGATAAAGTATAGCTCCATCACAAGTGTTGTACCAAGTGTTTTATTAGGTGTTCTTGAACTAGGTTTCAGTAAAGGTAAAACAGATATTTGAAGAAACAATATATGAAGTGCTCCACAAAATTACATTAAAGGCTGACCATTTTCCTGGGGCTTAGAAATCCATGTTCATCTAAAATGATACACTGAAATCTGATATTTAAAAAGATTCACTTATCTGAAAGGTAGTTATAGAAAGAGGAGAGGCAGAGAGAGAGAGAGACAGACAGAATCTTCTACCCACTGGGTCAAATGGCACGACCTGGGCTGAGCCAAGGCCAGGAGCATGGTCTGAGTCTCCCAACTGGGTGCAGGGACCAAAGCACTTGGGCCACTGTCTCCTACTTCCCCCGGGCACGTTAGCAGAGAGCTGGATGGGAAATGGATGAGCTAAGACTCAAACCTGCACTCATATGGGATGCTGCTATTGCAGGCAGTGGTTTAACCTGCCATGCCACAATGTCAGCCCCTGAAATCTGGTCTTTAATCACAGGCACGTAAATCTTATTTTACAATTTTAACAATGAACTTATCAAGAAGCGTAATTTTGGGTGCAGGGATTTTCTTAGTGTCAAGTCAGGGCTTTCTGATCTTGTCTACATGTTGGCACATCTGTAACGTGGTAGCGTCTGTGCATGTCTAAGTGACTGGGAGTGATCACTCAAGAACCGAGCTCCCTGAGGGGAGCAATTCTCAGTGCTTGGGATAGAAAGGGGTTTGTTATCTCCTTCCCATGGTATGCTCCGCTAGAATCTTGAGTGGAGAGCTGCAAGTTGAGGGGCCGGTGCTGTAGTGTAGTGGGTTCAACTACCACCCGATGCATCCCATGTGGGCACTGGTTAGAGTCCTAGCTGTTCCACTTCCAATCCAGCTCCCCACTAATGGCCTGGGAAAGCAGCAGAATACGGTTTACGTGCTTGGGCCCCTGAACCCAAATGGGAGACCTGGAAAGATCTCCAGGCTCAGGCTTGGCATGGACATTTGGAGAATGAACTAGCAGATGGATGATCTCTCTGTGTCATTTTTCCAAGTAAATGAATAAAATCTTAACAACAAAACCTGGACCGGTGCTGTGTCATAGTAGGTTAAGCCTCCATCTACAGCGGTGGCATCCCATAAGGGTGCTGGCTGAATCCCCGGCTGCTCTACTTCTGATCCAGCTCCCCGGTGATGTGCCTGGGAAAGCAGCAAAGGATGGACCAAGTCTTTGGTCCCTCTTCCCTTGTGGGAGACTTGGAAGAAGCTCCTGGCTCCTGGCTTTGAACTGTCCCTGCTCCAGCCATTGTGACCATTTGGGGAGTGAACCAACAGATCTCTGTCTCTCCTTCCATCTGTAAAGCTGCCTTTCCAATAAAAATAAATAAGCCTTTAAAAGAAAGAAAGAAAACCCTCCAGGTTGCAGGTCATCTGGGCTGATAGCTCCTGCTACAGCATGAGTGGCTATAGCACGGAAACTGGAAAGTGGTTTAAGAAGCTTTTTGAGAGCTAAGGCAGTTTTCTTCATTTCTCCTAAGGGTGCCAACTCATGCCATGCTGTAATGGGAGCCTTGCTTTAGTAGCAAGGCAGAATTGCATTCTGGGGGCGTTGTGTCTATGCGCATGTTTCATGTGCAGGGATGCCTTTAAAAAATACTGCTTAGGGGGTCCAGTGTGGTAGCTTAGCAGCTAAAGTCCTCGCCTTGCATGCTGGGATCGTATGTGGGTGCCAGTTCATATCCCAGTAGCCCTGCTTCCCATCAGGCTCCTTGACTGTGGCCTGGGAAGCCTTGGGACCCTGCATCCACGTGGGAGACCCAGAAGAGGCTCCTGGTTCCTAGCTTAGGATCGGCTCAGCTCCGGCCCTTGCGGTCACTTGGGCAGTCAATCAGTGGATGTAAGATATTCCTCTCTGTCTTTCCTCTTTTTGTATCTATCTTTCCAATAAAAATAAATAAAAATTTTAAAACAAAAAAAACAAAAAAATACTGCTCAGATACTAAGTTGCTCTGATGCATGGAGCCGTGCGCACACTTGATAATGATTATTTTGAACCACTTGGGAGATTTCCCCAAAATTTAACTGAATACCTTGAAATGTTCACACCCTTTATGGCGGTGGTCTTGTCACACGGTTTGAATTCTTCCTGCAGTATTAACCCTGTGGTAACTGTCCTCAGGTCCGAAGAAACAGCATTCGGCCCTTTCTGGCCACACTGATGAACGTGCAGGAAAATGTGAAGGTATTTATATACATATTTTTCAAACTGCTAGTGCTCTATCAGTGTCAGTGGCAACTGGAAATGAGCGATCTCAGGAGAGGCGGTTTGTCTGGTGGTTTCTACCGCTGTCTACACTCCCACGGCAGCCTCGTCCGCCAGGCCTACCTGCCCTGAGAAGCCCGGTACAGGTCTCCTTTGGATAATGGGAAGCACAGTCCTCAGATCTGGGGGGCTTGGCAGAGTAAGGATTCCTAATTAGAGAACGAAGACACCTAGGTTGTTGTGTTTATTTTTTTTTCTTAAATATTCATTTACTTATTACGTAGAGTTATATATAAAGAAGACAGAGAGCTAGTTATCTTCCATCTGTTGGTTCACTTCCCAACTGGCAAAGGTCAGGGGTGGGCCGGGCTAAAGCCAGGAGCTTCACCCAAGTCTTCCATGTGGTGCAGGGGTCAAGGCCTTGGACCATCCTCTGTTGCTTTCCCCAGACCGTTACCAGGAAGTTGGATCAAAAGTGGAGCAGCTGGGACTTGAGCTAGAACCCACATGGAATGCCAGGGCTACAGGTGGTGGCTTAACCTACTTTGCCACAAAGTTGGCGCCTCCTCTGCTTTTAACAGAAGGTTATGGATAAGGCCAGACTCTATTTTAATATGGAAATGATTCATTAAAAACTGTTTTTCTAAAAAATAAAGCAAAAAACCAAACACAACTATTTTTCTAAGCTGATCTTCATGAGTAAAGATAACCCCAGTCAAGTGTGCTTCAGTGGCCAGTAGCCTAAAATGAAATTTTAATTCTTCTTGCTCACATGATTTTTTAAAAAATCTTCTGTTCAGATCTCTCAGTTGTAATTTGTTACATAAAAAACAAATAAGTATTTCTCTTCATGCCCAATAAAAAATAGGAGAAAAGATGATATAGATTAGAACAGGATTGTATTAAACATTCCTTTTTGGGCTATCAGGTGAATTTCATTCACTCTGGAACAGTCACGAGGAAAGCAGAAAGGCAGGCTGGGTTTTAGGCTCCCTGACCATGGACATTCCAAATTGTGCCGGGAGAGCCCACGCCTTGGTCAGACGGCGCCTGGGAACGTGCCGGGGTGGCTGGTGCCTTGGGGGACGCTGCACTGTGCGCTGGGCCCCAGCACGGGCCTGCAGCTGGAGGTGGAGGTGCTGCTGTGACTTGCGGGAGAGGGATAAGCCATGTCCCGGGACTGCTCTCACTGGGTGGTGACCAGCTTCACAATCGTGTTGATGATGCGCGAACCTCGGGGACACGAGCACAGGTCTATGCTGGGGTTTTTAATCTTATCCTGGAGGAGCTGGTCAAGTTCACCACGAAGTTCTTTTACTAATTCAGCCACCTACAACGAAAGGTGCCACATTAGCAGTGCCTGTAGCAACAATCAGGGTCATCATAATTTAGATTTCTGTGCTAATTGCAACTCCATTAGGAGAAAAAGATGAAACCCAGTTTCGCAGCTCATATAGAGAAAAAAAAATCATGTTGGGAAGGATGGCTCTTCCTTAGTGCTTTCGGAGCTGGCTATCCTTAGCACCTGCCCTCGGGGAGAAGCAGGAGGCGGGCAGCTGCAGCACTGAAAACGAGGGGCAGCTGGCAAAGCCCACGATCTTCTCATGTGAGGGGCTGTGCACTCGGATGGCATGCTGCTTGTGCTGCCAGCGTTCTGGCACTGAGGTGCCTCCCCCACATCTGCTTCACCCCTCCTCCACATTTGACACCCTGCTCCAACTCAGACCAGCGCATGCTCCGAGCCTGGCCTGCCTCGGTGTCCATGCTGTCCCTCTAGCCACAGGAACTGGCTTAGGAGAGGAGCAAGCGTCTTTCTTTGTCCTTGGGTGAGACTGCCCAGATGTCAAGCAAGTGCAAACATCTTGCTGCTACAAGGTTAGCCAGGTTTTTGTCATCACTGAACTGTGTGTGAAATGAAATGAACCTCGCCTCGTTTACCCGTGCTATACACTGTGGCAACTGCAAGTCATGTGTGGCTCACCAAATGACCACATGAAAGGTAGCCAGGGGCCTGGTGCCATGGCCTAGTGGCTAAAGTCCTCGCCTTGAACACCCCGGGATCCCATATGGGCACCGGTTCTAATCCCGGCAGCTCCACTTCCCATCCAGCTCCCTGCTTGTGGCCTGGGAAAGCAGTCGAGGACGGCCCAAAGCTTTGGGACTCTGCACCCCTGTGGGATACCCGGAAGAGGCTCCTGGATCCTGGCTTCGGATTGGCACAGCATCGGCCATTGCGCTCACTTGGGGGGTGAATCATCGGACGGAAGATCTTCCTCTCTGTCTCTCCTCCTGTCTGTATATCTGACTTTCCAATAATAAATAAGTAAATCTTAAAAAAAAATGAAGTTACTAGAGCAATTAAAATGACATGCGGCTCAAGCCACATTTCTATGAGACGGTGCTGCTCTGCAAGCATAAATACGCCAATCAATTTGCTTGAGGGTTTAAATTGGTACTTCTACTTTTTGCAACACAACCATGATTTGGGGGGGTGGGAGTGGGGTCCCTTTCACAGGTGCTCAACACAAATGTTAACATGAATTTCTGTTTCTTACATATATACTTCCTGTACTATGTCTCACATGGGCTACAAAGAGACCTGACAATAAAAAAATTCAGACATATTAGGTTAAAATATAAGTGGCAGTGGTGAACCAGACTGATCTTTCTAAAAATTTTTTTTAAAGATTTATTTTTATTATTTTATTTTATTTTATTTTTTATTTTTTTTATTGTGCTCACTCCCCAAGTGAGCACAACGGGTCGATACTATGCCGATCCGAAGCCAGGAGCCTCTTCCGGGTCTCCCACGCGGGTGCAGGTTCCCAGAGCTTTGGGCCGTCCTCGACTGCTTTCCCAGGCCACAGGCAGGGAGCTGGAAGGGAAGCGGGGCTGCTGGGATTAGAACCGGCGCCCATATGGGATCCCGGGCGTGCAAGGCGAGGATCTTTAACCACTTGCGCCACCGCGCCGGGCCCAAATTTTAATTTTTAAATTTATTTAATTTTTACATTTTTTACCAGGCTGATCTTTATTCACGCCTTTTTGTTCATTTGCATTATTTCTTTGGTGAGTGTATCTAATTTACAGAGCTGTAATGGAAGTCTAACCCCTCAGCCTCCCAGCTTCTGGTCCTAACGCTTTGCCAGCCGCAGTGTGCCAGCGGGCACTCTCTCCGGGCCTCTGCCCTGGCTTCCCTCTGGCCTCACTTTTCTCAGCGTCCTGCTGCAGACCTGCCACCCTTCAGGCCCATTAGCGCTTACCTGATGGGAAGCAGCTACGAAACGGATCCAGCCGTCATCCAAGGAGACCACGAACTCTCCCTTTTGCAGCCTCACGTTCACCTGGCCGCCTCCGAACAGGACCAGTGGGTACACAGACACCATGCTGCAGTCTCGGATGAACACCCGGCTGGTTTTGATCTTCTCATGGTACAGCAGGTAAGGGCTGTCGAAGTGTCTGACCTGTGACACGAAGCCTCAGGTGAGGACTGGTGTGACTGCCAGCACCAGGGCAATCCCGCCAGTCTCCCATCAAAGGACTTCTTTTGTTTTCCAAGGATTTAGGCAGAGTTAGACACAAAGAGTAGGACTGACAGAGATATTCCACTCACGGCTCCATTTCCCAAATGGTTCCAGCTGCTGCGGCTAGGTCAAGTGGAATCCAGGGGCCTACAACTCCCTCAGAGCCTCCCCTGTGGGTGCAAGGGCCCAGGACGTGGCCCATCCTGCTGCTTTCTCAGGCACATGAGCAGGGAACTGGATTAGAGTGCACCAGCTGGGTCTCAAACTGGTGCCCATATGGGGTGCTGACAATACAGGCTGTGTAACAGCGTCTGTCCTAAAAGCAATTCTTGATGCTTGCCCCTTGCAGGTTTTCCCACTCAGGAAGCGACACTCCGGTTCTCCCACAGTGGCTTGGGCCCCCTTGGCAGTCATCCTTCTGGGCTCTTTCCCCTGAGTCCCAGCAGCTCTATTGTCAGAATAGAGTGGGATGTCATATTCTCACCACGTCCACAGCTACTCCCTTCATACAAATTGCTATCCACTGCCATCAGCACCGCACTGGCTGCCCCCGTGCTCACCCTGCTCTTTCTGGATCCTCATGGCCTCCTGAGCACACAGCAGCCACCGTGATCTTTCAGAAACTTCACACAAATCATGCCTCAAAACTCTACAATGGGACCCGGCGCAGTGGCCTAGTGGCTAAAGCCCTTGTCTTCAACATGCCAGGATCCCATATAGGTGCCAGTTCTAATCCTGGAAGCTGTGTTTCCTATCCAGCTCCCTGCTTGTGGCTTGGGAAAACAGTCAGGGATGGTCCAAAGCCCTGAGACCCTGCACCTGCGTGGGAGACGTGGACGAAGTTCCTGGCTCCTGGCTTCGGATCGGCTCAGCACCAGCTGTTTCGGTCACTTGGGGAGTGAATCATTGGACGGAAGATCTTTCCCTCTGTATATCTGACTTTGCAATAAAAATAAACGTATCTTTTAAAAAACAAAACAAAACAAAGCCTACAGTGGTTTCCCAAGGGTACAATAAAAAATGCTTGATGTGGCTGAAGTCACCCGCCATCGCCCCACTCCACTGACACTGGTTGTTATCACCCCTCTCCTGCAGCACCTCATGTATGTTCTCACCACAGGGAACACTGGGGGCTGTGCACCCAGTCCTGCTGCTGGAATGTTCTCTCCTTAGGCTCTTCTCCCTTCACTTAGGATCTGCTCAACTCAAGAGTTCTTCCCTGACTATATGATATAAAAGGGCCTTTCTCCAAAATGAAAAATAAAAATGAAAAAAATTCTATTTGGTAGTTTTTATGGCACCGTGAGTTAAGCCACTACTCGGAGTGCCTGCATCCTGCATGAGTACCAGTTCAAAGTCCTTGCTTCTCTGCTGATCCAGCTCCCTGCCAGTGCACCTGGGAAGGCATGAAAGATGGCCCAAGTTCTTGGGGTTCTGTTACCCATGCAGGAAACTCAGAGGGGGCTCCAGGATCCTGGTTTCAGGTTGGCCCATATATTTTAGAAGGAAAACTGTGGATGGAGACCTCTCAGTCTCTGATACACCGCCTTTCAAATAAGTAAAAAAATGCCTTTAAAAAAAAATAAAAGGGTTGGAGTGTGTACTGTGGTATTTTAGGCTAAAACTCTGCCTGCAGTGCTGGCATCGCATAAGGGCACCAGTTCAAGCCCTGGCTGTTGCACTTCTCATCCAGCTCTTTGTATGGCCTGGGAAAGCAGCAGAGGGCGGTTCAGGTTCTTGAGCCCCTACACCCAAGTAGGAAACCTAGAAGAGGTTCCTGGCTTCAGATCAGCCCAGTTCCAGCCGTTGCAGCCATTTGGGTAGTGAACCAGCAGATGGAAGATCTCTGTCACTCTGCCTTTCAAATAAAAAGAAATTGGATCTTTAAAAAAAAATGGATGCCAGTTTGAGTTCCACCTGCTCCACTCTGATTCAGCCTCCTGGTAATGTGCCAGGCAGGGCAGCAGCAAGTGACGTAAGTCCACCAGGTCTCTGCCGCCCATGTGGGAGACTTGCAAGAAGCACCAGCGGAACAGCAGGCAAACCTTACAGATGTCAGAAAGGTGCATTGCTGGGTCTTGGTGACTGCCTGAGCTGCAGCGAGGACACTGCTGCAGTAGTCTCGGTTATTTTAGGGTTCAGATTTGCACGAGACCATTCTCCAAATAGACAACACAGAAGAACAGGGAATTGGGAGCTAATGTCACGTGAAGGCAGGTAGGACAATGAAGCTGGGATGCCCCCTGGATCTACAGCTGGAGATTACTGGTGCCTCCTGGTGAGTGTGGATAGAGGGGGCAGGGTCCAGGGGCAAACAGCTGACAGCGGCAGGAAGCATGAGAGCTTAGCAGACAGGGTTGGCAAGGACGGGTCATTCATTCCTTTTCCAGGCACAGATTCGGTGACGTGATTAGCTCATGACTTCTTAAGTCATCGTTGTACAGAAAAAGTTTTACATCTGACAGGAAGGATAAGCATCTGCATCCACTAGAATTTTCTTAAAATAGAATTTTTCCAGAAATAATTCATTTGCTAGTCCATTTATGTTTATTCAACTTTCCTTCAGTCAGCGGTACCCCCGGGCAGAGCAGGTGAGGGGAACAAGGTGGGCCTGGGCCTGAGGGGCTGTTTCCCAGCCCAGCACTGCCCCACATGTCTCGGGAAGCACAGAGCACCATTCTGACCTGGTAGTTCACCGACGAAGGGTGGATATGCACGTAGCCGTCATTCTTGGTGACAAACTTCAGCTCGGCGGATTTGGGTTGCATTCGGACAGCTCCAGTTCTGGTCTGCTGAAACTTCCCTTCTGGGGCTTTCACCTACACAAATATCGGTAACAACAGGTATGTGATCCATAGATTTCTCACTGCAGGAAATGCCCCTTGATACAAAGCCAGTCTTGATTGAACAGCGTTATTGCCTCTTGCATCTCTCACGCTGCTCCCTTTAGAAGGCAGAACAAGCACTCAGGGGACGCCGAGCAGTGGGAGGTGCAGCAGGTCTGGGCGGCTGCCGCTTGCACTGTGACCGCCCCGGGCAGAAGCCACACCGGCCAGGGACCTGAGCACTAATCCAAATCCTGGGGCATTCCCAGTAGAATTTCTTTCAAAACAGACTTTTAAAGACTTATACGTAAATAACTTAATTGAAAAAAAATGTATGTACATGTTAAATGCAAAATTTTTGCAAAAATATGATTAGTGCAGAAGATACATATTAGTTAAAAAAGAAAATTAAAATCTGTAACCACATGGTTAAAAAATGTGTTAATATTTGATCAGTTTTCTGCTTAGATGTGCTTATATGCAGAAATAAAATCATAAATATATAATTTTAATAAAAATATCCATGTCTTGAAATTCAAATAGAATCTTAAAAATAATTTAAGACTTATTTTAAACCGAATTATTATGTTTTTCAATCAGATTTCTGAGTGAATTCAAGCAACAAGACTTCCTCCTAGGCTTGCGTTATGCTGGTTCATATTTAATTCTTTGACGACGGTCACCGGGCCAGCTCCCCAGGTCCTGGGGCGAAGGGCACACCGCCACCTCCTCACGCCCACGGAGGGACCAGCAGTGGCCTTCTCCCACTGATGGCTCTCGCTTCTACATCTAAGTATCCTTATGCTTTCTCTCCTCACTTTCCTTTTCAAAGTATCTTTTTATTTTGAAATACAGGAAATTGAAAAGTAATATAGGGTTGCTTATATTTAACCAGCTTCCTCGAAAGGTAACAGTTTACATAACTATAATGTAGCGTTAAAAACCAACAAATCGATACCTAATGTTTTAAAGTAAATTTCAAAAGATTGAAAAACGTACAAGTGCTAAGCAGAAAATGAGCCAGGAAATAATGTGCAGATTTCAACTGAACATTTAACAACAAAGGCCTTGAGGAGTGACTCAGCATTCTGCCAAATCCAAGTTCTTTCTCCATCTGAAATGGTTCCCTGTTAGCACAGGATAGTAAGTCCAGTAAGTCCAAAAGCCCTTAGGTAGGGTTTTCTAGGATAGCCAAGGGTGATCCATAGCCAAACGTGGCTGTGTTCTTCTCTAATTGTAGTCCATAGTAGTGGCTTGATGGAAACCAGAACTGTGGTTAGACTAACAGAGACGGTTAATTACATCTTGGTTGGCTGACAGGAGCCATTAGGTTTGTCTTAATTCCCAGAATGTTGGAAGGATTATAAAAGCAGATCATCTGATATAATAAGTATGTTTGGGGCCCAGTGCAATAGCATAGTGGCTAAAGTCCTCGCCTTACACGCACCAGGATCCCATATGGTCGCTGGTTCTAATCCTGGTGGCCCTTTTTCCATCCAGCTCCCTGCTTGTGGCCTGGGAAAGCAGTCAAGGATGGCCCAAAGCCTCAGGACCCTGCACCCATGTGGGAGACCCAGAAGTTCCTAGATCCTGGCTTCAGATCAGCTCAGCTCCAGCTATTGTGGCCACTTGGGGAGTGAATCATCGGACAGAAGATCTTCCTCTGTCTCTCCTCCTCTCTGTATATCTGACTTTGCAATAAAAATAAATAAATCTTAAAAAAAAAAAGTATGTTTGTTAAATTTAGGGTGCCACACAGATTTGAGGACCCGAAGGGCTGGAAATGTATACTGAATTTAAAAGGCCGTATGTGCGTCTGTAAGGTGACTAGTGCACATCTTCACTTGTATCTCTTGAAACTGAGAGATGGGAGAGTTCAGGAGAGACGCTTTATTACCTGGACTACGTTCGGATACAGAGCAGCACACAGCACTGCGGATATCAGCTTGTGGTTCTCCGCGTTCGAGTTCGCCTGCGAGAGAACCACAGCAATAAAGTTCTAAGTGACGTCACCAAGTAATGTGGCTACTTCTGTCCTGGCATGACTAGTACACTTCATTTGAGATCTGTGTTAAGACAGAAAAGAACATCCAATTTCTCTTTGTTGGAAACATTATTCCTTGCAAAGCGAAACACAATCCGCTAGACTACAGTCCCAGAGGCCCTTGGGGTGCAGCCCAGCATGCCTTCTCCCGCTCCCCGCAGAGCAGTGACAAAGCCAGTGCGCCGGAGCCCAAGGGACCCGCTGCAAGTGCTAACTGCACTTAGCGGGCCTCAAGTTCAACCTGAAGAACTGTCCTTTCCAGTGCATAAAATCCTATCTCCTTGTGTGGGACAAGGCTGGCCTGATTGCAGAAAACATCGCCAGCCGGAAAATGTAGTATTCCCTCTTAGGAACTGGTCAAGAACCAGTGAAAAATTTGAAAATCAAAATCAATAGCAACAATGTGATGAAAACACAGGACTGCCCCTGGAGCCCTGCTCCTGTGGGAGCAGACGACAGGAACGCCCACGTGACCCCTGCTCCTGTGGGAGCAGACGGCAGGAACGCCCACGTGACCCCTGCTCCTGTGGGAGCAGACGGCAGGAACGCCCACGTGTGTTGCTGCGCTCCCATCCCATCCCATCCACGTGCGAGTCAGGAAGAAACAAGACTCCCAGCGTGGCGTTTACCTCTTCCCCCGTGGCGTCCAGGACACCGTCTCCTCCTTGAGCCCTTTTCTCAATTTCTCGTGCTCGGAGTCCCTCCTTTACAAACCCTATATCCGATAACAGTTCGGTGAATTGCCGTTTGAGGCTGGCCATTTCCTGAAAGAAATGCAAACAGCACTGAGCAAGGTTACCAACACTGGGAGGTAAGTGTGGAACCGCACAGCAGCAAGTGGCTGTCCAAATCAACCGCTGTAGTACAGACTGATGTGGATCCTATGGAGTCAGCATTTAGCAATGAAGATTATCTCTTTAAAGATCTATTGTTGCGGGCCTGGCGGCGTGGCCTAGTGGCTAAAGTTCTCGTCTTGAACATGCCAGGATCCCATATGGGCGCCGGTTCTAATCCTGGCAGCTCCACTTCCCATCCAGCTCCCTGCTTGTGGCCTGGGAAAGCAGTCGAGGACGGCCCAAACCTTTGGGATCCTGCACCTGTGTGGGAGACCTGGAAGAGGTTCCTGGTTCCCGGCTTCAGATCAGCACAGCACCGGCCGTTCCGCTCATTTGGGAAGTGAATCATTGGGTGGAAGATCTTCCTCTCTGTCTCTCCTCCTCTCTGTATATCTGACTTTGTAATAAAAATAAAGAAATCTTTAAAAAAAATTTATTGTTGCTACTAAAGACAGAATGACAGAAACAGGGAGAGACGGAGAGACACAACATCCCTCCGCTGGGTCACCACGCAAATGCCCTCAACAACAGGACGATGCCAGGAGCCTGGATCTCCAGCTGTGTCTCCCACAAAGGTGGCGGGGGCGGGGGCAAGCCTTCGGGTCATCATCTGCTGCCTTCCCAGGCACGTTAGCAGGAAGTTGGATCACAAGTGGAGAACCTGGACTCCAGTGGGTGCTTCAGTGTGAGGGTGTCCTAAGTGGCGGCTCCACCCGCTGTGCTGCCACGCCTGCCCCAGGAAGATTACCCTGGCCTGCTCCACGTGCAAAGGACTGCTTCCATTTGTGCTAATGGGCAGGGATGATGAACTAGTTGCACAGACATTCAGAAATTTTGGAACCCAAGGTTATTGGTCTGCCTCTGTGTTGCACTTAAAATCAACTTTCAATGGATTTTAGATAGGTCTATTCTGCTTGGAACCCCACTCAAAGGACTAAGCACTGTCCTTCTACAGGCAGCTGTCCCGCCCCTTCCTCAGGCCCAGCGTGCTCAATGCTGTCTCCTGGTAGAACTCCTCATTCTCCTCGCGTCTTCCCCATCTGGTTGACATGCTTTCCTGGGCACTGGGGGCGGAAAATTGTAGGTTTAGATACTCCTTTCTGTGGTGAAGCAGAAGGATGAGGAGAAGGAGTATAAATCTCTTTGTCGGGCCCGGCGGCATGGCCTAGTGGCTAAAGTCCTCACCTTGAACGTCCCCGGGGTTCCCATATGGCTGCTGGTTCTAATCCCGGCAGCTCCACTTCCCATCCAGCTCCCTGCTTGTGGCCCGGGAAAGCAGTCGAGGATGGCCCAAAGCTTTGGGATCCTGCACCCGCGTGGGAGACCCGGAAGAGGCTCCTGGATCCTGGCTTTGGATCGGCGTAGCACCGGCCATTGCGCTCACTTGGGGAGTGAATCATTGGACGGAAGATCTTCCTCTCTGTCTCTCCTCCTTTCTGTATATCTGACTTTGAAATAAGTAAACAAATCTTTTTTAAAAAAAATCTCTTTGTCTTCTACACTGTGTTCCAACATGGGCTACATAGCGGACCGCGAAGGAGACGAGGCTAAACGAAGCAACGGTTCCCGTCTAGACGCCCATTTGCGTATCTGCCCGCAGTGCCTCAGGACGCTCTGCTAACAAGGGAGATATAAATCTAGTCATGCCCGAGCTCCCATTTCACGACAAGGTTTTAGAAGAGAGCTCAACGAAAGCAACACAGCCAGTAATATTAAACCATAGTCTAAGCTGAAGTCTAGCGAAGAAAGGGGAAGGATTTAATAAATTAGACAAATATCTACGGCATGTTATTTAGAAAAAAAAAAAAAAGAAGACTTAGTAACTCGAGGAAATCCTTCCGGCTGTGCTGTCCCTCAGTGGTTTCTGCACTGGCTGCGGAATACTAGACACACTTGGTTAACCAACGGCAGTAGTGACACTCAGTAAGTCCCAGTCTCTACCCTTAGATACACAGATGAAATTGGTTTAGGAAGACCAGGCACTTTCACTTTCTTTTTTTTAAAGTCTCCATTGGTGAATCTAAGATAGTCAGAATCAAAACCCATTGGCTTTGAAGCGGTCTGAATGAAGCCCCAGCCCTGTCTTCTCAACATGTCTCGCTGTAGGTTAGCTCGAGGGAGTTGAGGGGCGCCAGGGGACGCAGCTCCTGCTGACGCGCCTGGGAAGGCAGCAGAGGGGCGCTCCTGTAGCTGGGTCCTTGCCCCAGGAGGGAGACAAGGATGGAGTTCCAGACTCACTGTGGCCGGGGTCTGGCTGTTGTGGCCATTTGGGGAGTGAACCAGCACTGGGACGATCTTAAATCTGCCTCTCACTATCTATTATTGCCTTTCTAGTACACAAATAAACCTTAAAGGTAGGGAAGAATAAAGGCAAAAACAGGAATGAACTGGTGCCCATATGGGATGCCGGCATTTTAGGCGGCAGCTTTACCTGCAATGCCGTAACACCAGCCGCTTACTTATCTTAAATAACCAAATGCACTCAGCCTGCATTTATTCCATAAATCTTTACTCAACGTGCTAAGTTCTGTTTTAGGCACTGGGGATGTAGGACTGAACAAAACTGATGAAGTGTCCGTTCTGATGGAGGTCACGAGACAAACAGCTGTGAGGCTTGGCAAGTCCCAAGAACTTCAGTTCTGTGTTCTCTATAACATGCCGACATGCAATATGAAAATAAAGTCCTTCCTTCTCCCTCGTCCCTAATCTGACTGTACCAAATGCTTTGTAAAAATGTACAGCATCACCTTGGCTTTCCTATCACTTTGGAAAGAGGACAAAAATATGCCGCAAGATAGAGGTCAAAAATCCTAGTTATTTTTACACAGAATAAACCCTTATGTTTCTTCCTGATACGTGGATATTAGGAAAACTAAACAAAATCTTCTTCAGTATTAGTTTTTCCCAGGAGAGGATAAAGGTTTAAAAAATGAAGATGGACTTCTTTGCAAATCTGATTTTACAACAAAAATAAATAAATCTTAAAAAAAAAAAAGAAAATGATGCTACTATATGATCTATGAGTCGGTGAGGGATTTAACGAGAGAATTTGATGAAATGAAACTAAAAACAAAAACATCAAAATCCATGAGATATACTTTCCACTGGTCTTTATTGGTGAGATGTATCTCCTTTAAGCAACAGATGGGTTTTGTGTTTTTAATCCAGTCTACTAATCTATGACATTTGATTGATGAGTTTAGGTCATTTACATTCAGGGTTAACATGAATGGGTGGTAATTTGGTCCTGTCATTTTAGCAACAGGGTTGACCAAAAGTGATCTGTACCACGACACATGATCATCAAGCTCTCTTCAATCGAACATAAGGAAAAGATTCTTAAATGTGCATGTGCAAAAAAAATCAATTGACACATAGAGGAATGGCAACTAAAATCATAGGAGATCTCTCACAGGAAACTCTATAGGCCAGAAGAGAATGGAGTGACATATTCCAGATTCTAAAAGCAAAAAACTGTCAGCCCAGGATAATATACCCAGCAAAGCTTTCTTTTGTCTTTGAAAATGAAATAAGGGTCTGGTGGCATGGCCTAGTGGCTAAAGGTCTCACCTTGAACGCCCCGGGATCCCATATGGGCACTGGTTCATCTCCCAGCTGCTCCACTTCCCATCCAGCTCCCTGCTTGTGGCTTGGGAAAGCAGTCGAGGATGGCCCAAAGCCTTGGAACTCTGCACCCGTGTGGGAGACCTGGAAGAGCTCCTGTTGTTTTTCTTAATGGAGTTCCAGAACTCTGGCTTTGGCCTGGGCAAGCCCTGGCCATTGTGGGCATCTGGGGAGTGAAGCAGCCGATGAAAGATCTCTTTCTCTGTCTCGCTTTCTCTTTGCCTTTCAAATAGATTTTTAAAATAAAAAAAACATGTCTAGTATAATTATTGAAAAGACTGACATCCAATAAATAGTCCTCACCAGAATATCTACAGCACATCCTAGCCTCCTCATTAAGAAAACACAGATTCACCAAACCAGGCTGGTTAAATGTTTGGCTCAGAAGGCCTGACGCTACAGTTCGGGAATCCATTTTACACAGCTGTCAAAAGCCAAGCGTATTCTAGAAATAACGGTTTCAGTGTTGGGATGGGAGCAAGAGAAGAGCTGCAACGCCCTCTAGTGTTCTGCTGTAGTAGGGAAGCAATGAGGAGGAACTGTCCCACAGCTCACCTGCAGAACTCGGCCCGACAGGAAGTTCTGTCTGCAGTAGGTGTAACTGGCATGCATGCCTTCTTTTGTACTTAGCCGCCATCCCTAAATTTGGGAGAAAACCAAACTGAACTCACTCTTTCATGCCAACTAAGGTAATAACCCCAAGCCGTAAGGTTACATGCTCACCTTATAAGCTCGCAGGAGGGCCAGGTAGTCACTGTTGGCGAAGGCGAAGTCCAGCTTCTTCTGGTTAGCCTCCTCTTTCTTATCCCAGGGAGACACCTAAATGAGCAAAACCAGACTTGAAGGTCACATTTAATCGGAGGTTTCAAACGATGTTGTGCTGTTGCAGAAGCCAGCCAGCTGCCTTTATTGTGAAGCAAAGCCATCTTAGTGGTCACAAGCCTAGAGGCAATCACAGCGACAGGCAGGAGGCAACTGTTTGACTTGTCCCGATGATCAGCTCCTCTGGGTCTTTTATGGCAAGAGTCATCTAAGAGCCACTTGCTTCAAACACCCTGTTGTTATCGCTGTGTTGTCTTTACTATCCAAGTTGTTATCTTTCAGATTTGACTCTCCCCTGCTCTTACGGCAATTACTACGCTTTCCTCTGATCTTAAGATGATGTGTACACGACCAGCATTCATTCAAACACTCGGAACACTGCACGGAGGCTGATTTTTCCTACTTTCCGACGCCCATGACATGTCAATTCTGTAATCCCATAAGGCCTCTGGATTCTCACACCCTGCTGCTGCCAGCAAGCTGTGGCAGGTCCTTACAGCAAGCTAAACAGAGGCTCAGGCTGTGCCACCCCTGAAAATCATCTAGGTGCTTTTCCCTAACCTCCTGCAGTCACTAGGGCTGGGCTAGGCTGATGCCAGGACCTAGGAATTCAATCTAAATCTGCCACATGTATGGCAGGATCCCAAACCCTCGAGTTGCCACCCGTTGCTTCCTAGGATCTGCACCAGCAGGAGGTGGGATGGGGAACAGAGCTGGCACTAGAACCAGGTGCCAATGTAGGCTGCAGGCATCTTAATGTTTAATGTTTAGGCCGAACATTCACCTGCTGAATGGCCTTAGAGCTAACAAAATGGCAAAAGAACAGTATTTTTTACTTAAAGGTAAATTTCCTTCCTCTTAAGGAAGGCTGATGTGAATGGGATTACATTTGCGAGATTCATGTGCACGTGGGGAAGCACAGGACAGGGGCTCAGTTTTGGCTGAGGATGACATCAACACTGCCATGAGTCTATATCCCCATAGAACAGCCACTGAATCATTTGTGTAGATGACCAATGGCAGTTCACCAGGCTGACCGACTGTGTGTCCTTATGCAAGCTGTCACCCCCTGGTTTTTGCTTTTACCATTTGTTGTTAAATGAGAGAGCTAGGTTAGGACTTTTATAATGTATGAATACTATGAATAATATGAGTACTATGAGTTTATAATTCCATGAAGTGCAGCATTAAAATGGAAGGAAATGATTATATGCAACTATTCCCCTATCTATACAGAAAAAGTCATGATTAAAAAAAATAAAACAGATTGGCACTCCATCTAACATCAGACTAGCCACCTTCCTGCAGTGCGTGCTGAGCCCTCTCAGCACAGACCACATGCCTGAGCATAACATGAAGCACAACAAGTTTGGAAGGATTGAAATAACATAAAGTGTGTCCTTTGAGCAAAACAGACTGAAATTAGAAATCAGTTAACAGAAAAGAAAAAGCTTAGGAATTCACAAACATGTGGAAATTGAAGAACACACACCTAAATAGCTAATGAACTGGAAGAAATAAACAGCGAAACCAGATGGATGGGGGAGGTCACGTGGCCTAGCAGTGACACGCATTCCGTATCAGAGTGCCTGGGCTCCACTCCCCACTCCCCTGGTAACTACATTCCTGCTCATGCAGAGTCGAGGAGGCAAGAGCAGGCGATGGTTTAAGGAGCTGGATCTCCACCGCCCTTGTGGGAGACAGGAGAACTTGACCGAACTCCTAGCTTCTAGCTTGGCCTTGTCTAGACCTGGCTGTTGCAGGTGTCTGTAGACCTACGGCAACACTGCTGTTTCTCTGCTGCTGTTCACTTACGAAAGGAGACTTATGGGCCAAGCTGGCGGCGATGGTGAGAGCAGGATCCAGACAGCGGAAGATGGAGCCGAACAGCATGAGCTTGCCGATTCTCACGTCCACGGGCAGAGAGGCCAGGTGATAGCCCAGGGGAGTCAGCTGCTCATCTGCGGTCAGCGCTCCCAGGTCCTGTAGTCGGATCTTGGAGGCATGAACAGAATCAGCGTGCGGAGGTTCGATGAGCCGAGAGAACACGGATTGGAGACTGTGGGTGTTATACATCTCTAAAATCTTAATTCTGAAAAGAAGAAAAATGAGTAACTTGTCAATTATTATCCTGGTGGGATGGTCCTAAAAAAATAGTTTCTTTCTGGATTAAGAACGGTCTGCAGCTTCCCAGATACAGGTTTTTATAAACCACACAATGCTAGTTTAAAAAAAAAATGCCACATAAACTCTAATGTTTCTCAGACTCCTTAATTCCTCTCACGTCTACTGCTTCCACCTTAGTTCAAGGGCATCAGCTCCTCACCCTCAGTTAAAAAATAATGATAATTGGGCCTGGCAGCGTGGCCTAGCAGCTAAAGTACTCGCCTTGAATGCGCTGGGATCCCATATGGGTGCCGATTCTAATCCAGCATCGGCTGTTGCGCTCACTTGGGGAGTGAATCATTGGATGGAAGATCTTCCTCTCTGTCTCTCCTCCTCTCTGTTTATCTGACTTTCCAATAAACAAATAAATCTTAAAAAAAAATTATAATTTGCCAATCTAATAGTAATTTATTACTTTATGTATTTATACTGGAAAGGCAGATTTACAGAAAATGAAAAACAGAGAGAAAGATTTTCTATCAGCTGGTTCACTCTCAAAGTGGCTGCAACAGCTGGAGTGGAGCCTATCTGAAGCCAGGAGCCAGGAGACTCTTACGGGTCAGTTGCACAGGTGCAGGGTCCCAAGGTTTTGGGCCGTCCTCCACTGCTTTTCCAGGCCACAAGCAGGAAGCTGGATGGGAAGTGGAGCAGCTGGGAGATGAACCAGTGCCCATATGGGACTTTGGCATGTTCAAGGCAAGGATTTAGCCATTGAGCTATAGTGCCAGGCTTCATCACCCCCATTTTCTTACGATCAGACCACAGACACTTGAGAAAAGCAGGAACTATTCTTGCTATTCTATAGTATTCTAACCCTAGACCTGGCAAGTGAAAAATTCTACACATATAATGTCACACAAAAGAACGATGACATCTTTGCACAAATAACTTTTCCTTTTTGGATTATTTTTCTATGGGCATATGCCCTCATGAGAATGACTGAGCCAAAGGGCAGAAACGTCTAGAATTTTGTTAATATAATATTATACATCTATAATATAAAACAAATTTTCAGTAAAATTGCATCAAAATTTCTCCAGTTCTAATAACACTGAGTATGATCAATCACTCATGAAATTCTATTTTATGATGCTTGTTCATCAGATAAGTGATATTTTCAAGTGTCATTCACTCTGCTCTGATAATGAGGCTGTGGAGTTTTTCCTGGGATCATTTGATATTGCTTTTGCTCTCAGCAGAAATTCCTTGATAAATGATCATTATTTTCCTCTATAAAGTTCGATTGATTTATTTAAAGGGCACAGGGAGAGGGACAAAGAGATCTTCTACCTGCTGGTTTCCCTCTCCAAATGACCAAAACAGCCATGGCTGAGCCCGGCCGAAGCCAGAAGCCACGTCCCGTCTCCTCTACGGGTAGTAGGGACTCAAGTCTTTGGGCCATCTCCTGCTGCCTTCTTAGGCACATGAGAGGAAGCTAGACTGGAGGCAACACACTCAGCAGTTAAACCAGTGCTCTGAAATGGGAGGCTGGTATCTCAGGCAGTAGTTCCTTTTTTTCCTTTACAAATGTATTTTAAACCTCTATTATAAGGCCATGTTTGGCAGCATAAGAGATCTTGATGAGCAGAAAGGTAAGAAGAACAGTAAAGGCCACACTGTTCCTACCAAGCGTGTTCTTTGGGGGAAAAGAAACATGGAAATTCAGTAGGGTGAGGAATATTGGGAACTACTCAAAGCAGAACACAAAAATCCAGGTGTAACCTTAGGCACAGCTGTTCCAATGGCACTCTTTGTATTTCCGGCAGCTGCTGCTTTAAAAGCTGGTGAGTGTAGTGATGGCTGGTGAATAAATGGAAGCAGACCCCAGACGCAACACGGCCTGCCCGGCCCTTCCTTTGCAGAGCATTGGCCTGAGATACAAATGTGTCCTCTAGACTTTCCATCCCTTTGCTGGCATCATATCTATAAAGAAAAATATAAACTGAGTTACTTAAAAAAGAAAAAAAAAAAGAGTGACCCAAACTACTTGGCACGGACAGAATAGACAAGTCACCTTACTTTCACAGAAGGACACAGCAGCCTGTGTGCTCTGGGATAGCCTGGTCCCTGATGGGATCAGTGAGTGTGACTTAAACGGTACTGAGTGCTACTACTTGGTTTCTTTATTCAACCCTGTTCATCCAAGCACATGTAAAATTACATCAGGGGAAATGGAGGGAAAGGAAGTCATGATTTCCCAGGTGAAACCTTACCTTTTCTACCCCCACTTAATTTTAAGGCTCATGGTTCTGGCTGTGGGGTCATTTGTTTATCTATGTGTAGCTTTTGTAAACAAGTTTTTGAAATTACAAGCCATAGAGCTTTGCAGCTCTGGTGGTAAACAGCTGTGACCGTATATGAGGCAACGTTACTCTCCTTCTACATCGTCACAAGATAGTACCTTTTTTCTTTCATTTTCCCGCAGTCAATGACATAGACGACGTCATCGATGGTTATGGAGGTCTCAGCAATGTTGGTGGAAATGATAATCTTAGTGACGCCTACAGGAGGCTTAGTAAACACAGCCGGCTGTTCTTCACTTGACAAAGATGAATGAAGTGGGTGAATAATACATCTGAAAGGAGACAAAAACACATGAAGGCAAACAGTACTGAAATAGGGTTCCGGGGGTTGATTTCTATTAACACTCACTCTGCCACTCGAAGTATCAGTGGCTGCTCTTCGTCAGTCCTCAAGGCCAGCTTTTCTCAATGAGAACGTTCTTTCTGAGCCTCTCAAATTATTTACTCAGTTCTAGAAACTAAAACTTGGAGAAAAATGCTGGAGTGTGATTCAGAAGCAAATAAATCAAGAGAAATAATCAATGGATATTCTACAAGCGATAAACCTAGAGCAAGCTAACCAGCAAAGACTGTTCTCCCTACTCTTAAATCCAGAGAAAGAGAGGCAAAAACAGTGATGTAAATAAGCTAAGAAATGGCACTCTTACAATTTTCCCCTCAGAGGCCAAGACACACCCAGGTTCACCTGGCTACTGCACCAGGGATGGTTTGAACAGAAATATGTTGCTGGGCCCGGCGCGGTGGCGCAAGTGGTTAAAGGTCCTCGCCTTGCACGCCCGGGATCCCATATGGGCGCCGGTTCTAATCCCGGCAGCCCCGCTTCCCTTCCAGCTCCCTGCCTGTGGCCTGGGGAAGCAGTCGAGGACAGCCCAAAGCTTTGGGACCCTGCACCCGCGTGGGAGACCTGGAAGAGGCTCCTGGCTTCGGATCGGCATAGTATCGGCCCGTTGCGCTCACTTGGGGAGTGAATCATCGGACGGAAGATCTTCCTCTCTGTCTCTCCTCTCTGTATATCCGCCTTTCCAATGAAAAAATAATAAAAATAAAATCTTTAAAAAAAAAAAAAAAAAAAAAAGAAATATGTTGCTTTAATGGAATGGGAACAGCACATCCCTTGGAGCAGAGAGGACTGTCTATTTACAGCTGGCCTGGACACACACATACAGGCTTGAAGAGTGACACCAGGGCCCGAGAGGACTGAGGACTTCGAGACCTTTCTGTTTGTTTATCTTCGCAGATAACCGTGATGAATGCTGGCTTACCGCTTACTTCGTCTGTTGTTGAAAAGAGAGTTACATTGCAGCTGTTCATAAAGCATTTTGATTTCTGCTAGTCCTGGTAAAAATACGAGTATAGCGCCTGGGTATACAAAAAGAATCAATAAGTTAGGCGCAAAAAAGGAAAAATCACTACAGATCATAAAACTATTTCACACCAAAGAGAGTAATCATCTCAAAATATTTCTAATCTAATCTAGAACTGTTCACTCTTAGCGTTCTTTGCTTGTAAAGTCCCCAAGGTCTTAAAGGAACAATAAATTATGTTTTTAGTACATTCCCTGACTTAATAAGGACAGAGTATTATCTTTCTGCAACAGAAAAAAATGAGGTGTGGAAAACTACAGTGCCTCAGACTCACAACTTAACTTCTAGTTAACTTCTACAAGTATGTCACGCACTGACCACTGACACGCTGTCTAGGGCAAGGGCTCCTTCTAACCTTTTAAGACAGGAAGACTCCTCTGTCTATTAATAACTAAAATCCATAAACATTTTACTGGAAATGAGAAAAAGAGTCCATTACTGGCTAGCCCATCTGACTATCTAACTTCAGCTGTACTTTAAGGAGGCAGAACAGAAACTGACCATGATCTATTAACAGTTGATGCGATTTTTGCATCTTGTATTACAAAGAAGCAGTGATAACTAATTAGAGTCCATTTCTGTGTCAGAAGCAGGCACTCAGCAACACTTAACTTCCTTTGTTTTACTCGGAGACAAAATGGACACCCTCTCCTTCGATACCATAAATATTTTACAAGGTGCCGTGTCAGTTCTGTGAGAAGTGCAATGGGATGTAAAACGAGGACCAGCCGTGAAGTACCCATGACCCAGTGCTATGTTGCTGTTATTCTAGTCCAGTAAAGAAGGAATCAAAATCATTACAAAATGGAACCCCTTGCAAGGTTGCTTTTAATACTTCATGGCATACAAAGAATATTTACATACATCATTTCATTTGATCCCCTTACCACCTCCCCCCATTAGGAAGACTTGGCATGGGTCACAGGGTTACTAAGCATGGAGCTTAGACAGAAACCTAGGATGTTGGCACCAGACCCAACCTCTCTGCATTATTTACCCCTTGTTAACTGCTAAAATGCTACAAAATTCAAGATTGGTAAAATAATCTATTTGGTTGGGAATTACTTTTTTTTTCTATACTTTTATGCTTCTGTTCTGTTCTACCCTCATGACTTGATCATCTGTGTCAGGAATATCTTTAATATTTACCAATGTGCCACTCCCTAATTACTATACCTACTTTAAGTTCAGGTACCTAACTTTTTTGTGTGTGCTGATAAGGTAGATTTTTTCCCCTGTAACAATCATTACTTTTGGGATAAAATAAGAGAGTCAACCTAGTGAAAGTGCATTAAAATTGGCCACTTGTAGGAGCAGACAAACAGGCACCTGAATGACTTCATGAGACTTACTGGTCTCTAGAAGAAACCATACAATGATTCAAGGTGAGGCAGGAGAGAGCACCTGTTCCCGCTTCTCTAAAGCACCATGTAATGAGCACATCAAGTCATTTTTATCTATTATTCAAATTGCTGATTGCCCAACATTGGCTGGCCTTCATTTATTCATCAATAAATGTTTACTCTGGACCTAAATGTTCTGGGCACTATTCTAGGGTCTGAGAAAGATACTGGCAAGCCGGAAATCTCTATTCTTAAGGAACTTATGATTTGCTAAAGGAAATGGTCAGAAAGCAAAATTAATTTCAATCAGTACTAAGTGCTAAGATGAAAATGAAGACGTTGATGGATATTATGGTGGGGCAGGCGGCAGTAGAGGGGAGGGAAACTGGTAGGGTTTTCTAAAAGGTGACACCTGAGCTGAACCTTGAATGATGTGAAATGCAGAAAATCTAGAGAAAATTCTGGTGATAAAGAATCACAGTTGAAGTAATAAGGCCAGCAGTAATATGGATATAATGAGTACATCATTATTACACAGTCATGAATGGGTATTAATCATAGGTGAGGCACTATGCTAACTCCTATACACACATGGTTACTTTCAATACTTAGGATGGCTCTAAGAAAGAATGCCTTCATTTTACAAACAAGGAAACTGGAGCATAGAAGAGACAAGGTGAGAGGGACTGTGTGCAAAAAGGCTGCATGCAGATGAGACTCGGTGGACTCAGCCGATGAGACTCCACGGACTCAGCAGATGAGACACGATGGACTCAGGGACGAGACACAATGGACTCCGCGGACGAGACACGATGGACTCATGCAGCCAGAACTGTGCTTTGGGAGCATGCAGGCCTGAGCGAGTAGTAGTTACCTGGAGGGTAGGAGTGCTTTCCATCCACAATCCACTCGAGTAAGGCCTCTATTAGTTCAAGATTAACCTTGTCAAAATCCATGATGGACAGAGTTTTGATGACTGAGTTGCTAACTCCTGGAAGAAAGGCACACGTCAGGATGGTTACGCCTTACAGAAGACAATACGCCTGTGAACTTGGTGAGCGCTCACTTAGTAACAGATTTCACATCTAACAGACTGACACCATTTTTTTTTTCCTCTAGGCTTTCAGAAAACAGCCTCACCAGAGCCAATTTCTTGCTCAAACAGTGATCTAAAAACCAAGCGCTTGATCCTGCTGGAGAGGCCCAGCCAGACCACTCAGAACTCTCCTCTCTCCTTCCCCTCTTCTAAACAAGTTCAAAGTTTAGCCCCTGGAAGCAAAATGAAAGACAGATTTTAGAAACTCCTTTGAGAGGCAGTTAAAGCATGAGTCAGATCAGCTTTTAGGTTCCTTGCAGAAAATGATACAATTGGTGGATTTCTCCTAAAAACACAACAGATTTTACTGTTCCACCATGCTCCTGGAACCTATTCATAGATCTTCAAATTAGAGGTTTGCAAGCATCTTAATCCGTCTGAGGACTAAGAAAAGAGAGTTCTTTGGGTTTTACTCTAAACGTTTGCTTTTTTAGAAAAAAATCCCCAATAGGCCAATGTCCTGGCAGCTCCACTTCGCATCCAGCTCCTGCCTGTGGCCTGGGAAAACGGTGGAAGACAGGCAAGGTCTTGGGGCCCTGCACCTGAGTGGGAGACCTGGAGGAAGCCCCTGGCTCCTGGCTTTGGATCAGTTCAGCTCTGGCCATTGAGGCCACGAGCGGAATGAATCAGTAGATGGAAGGCATTTATCTCTGTCTCTCCTTCTCTCTGTAAATCTGCCTCTCCACAAAAAAATAATAATAAATAATAATAACATAATAAAAAAAATCTATCTTTAGGGCCCGGCCCGATAGGGTAATGGTTAAGGTCCTCACCTTGTACACCTGGGATTCCATATGGGCACTGGTTCTAATCCCAGCAGCCCCACTTCCCATCCAGCTCCCTGCTTGTGGCCTGGGAAAGCAGTTGAGGATGGCCCAAAGCCTTGAGACTCTGCACCCACGTGGGAGACCTGGAGGAAGTTCCTGGCTCCCAGCTTCGGATCAGCATAGCACCAGCCATCGCGCTCACTTGGGGAGTGAATCATTGGATGGAAGATCTTTCTCTCTGTCTCTCCTCCTCTCTGTATATCTGACTTTGAAATAAAAATAAAATAAATCTTTAAAAAAAATCTTAAAAACAAACAAAAAACGCACAAGGGCCAGAGTTATTGTGTATCAGGCTAAGCCACTGCTTGCCATACTGGTTGAAGTCCTGGCTGTTCCATTTCTGACCCAGCTCCCTACAAACTTCCTGGAGAAGGGATCAGAAGATGGTCCAAGTTTTTGAGCATTTACTAACAAGTGGAAAGCCAGGATGGGGTTCCCTGCTACTGGCTACAACTTGACCCATTCCTGGCTATTGTGGCCATTTGGGGAATGAACCAGTGGATGGAAGATTGCTCCCCTGTTCTGAGTTTCAAATAAATAAGTCTTCACACACACACACACACACACACACAAGAAAAAAAAAAGGAAAAGAATAACAAAAAAGAAAAAAGGAGCCTGGTGCAGTAGCCTAGTGGCTAATGTTTTTGCCTTACATGTGCCAGGAACCCATATGGGCAACAGTTCATATCCTGATGGTTTCACTTCCCATCCAGCTTCCTGCTGAGGAAGCAGTAGAGCACAGCCCAAGGCCTTGGGAACCTGCACCCATGCAGTAGACCCGGAATAAGCTCCTGGCTCAACTCTGGCCATGGTGGCTACTTGGGGAGTGAACCATTGGATGGAAGATCTTTTTCTGTCTCTCTTTCTGTCTATAAATCTGCCTTTCCAATAAAAAGAAACAGATCTTTAAAAAAAAAAAAAAGATGCCCTCATCCCATTTTTAAGTGCCCAGTTTGATTCCTGACTCTTGCTTCTGACTCTAGTTTCTACACCACAGGCTGTGGGAGGCAACAGTGATGGCTCAAGTAACTGGATCCTTGACAATTACTTGCCAATCATGAAGCTCAGCTTTAGCCATTGTGGGTACTTGCGGACAGCATCAGAGCTAAACATTCTCTATTTGCTTCCAAACTAAGAAATAAAAACTGGGGAAAAGAACAGCTAAGTCATCAGTCCCACATCATACAGAAACTAGCGGCAGCGCTAGGAGCTTGGCTTGAGCTCATCCCTCTCAATTTTTCTTAGAAAGCAGGTCCAGGGACCGGTGCGATGGCTCAGTGGGTAAATTTTCGTCCTTGCAAGTGCCATGGCCCCACAGGGGAACCAATTCGCATCTCGGCTGCTCCACTTCCCTCCCAGCTCCCTGCTTGCGGCCTGGGAAAGCAGTCGAGGACGGCCCAAAGCTTTGGGACCCTGCTCTCATTTGGGAGACCTGGAAGAAGTTCCTGGCTCCTGGCTTCGGAATGGCTCAGCTCCAGGCGTTGTGACCACTTGGGGAGTGAGCCAGTAGATGGAAGATCTTTCTCTCTGGCTCTCCTTCTCTCTGACTTTCCAATAAAAATAAATAAATCTTTAAAAAAAGAAAAGAATTCTGAAACTGTGAAGGACAAATCAGAGGATTTCTTGTTTTATAAATTTAACAAAATAGGGAAATAAAATATTAGCTGGTATGATATATAAAAGAACACAGATTTTCGATTCACATAAAGGGGAGCACAAAAAAAAATCATGGAAAATAGAGCTAAGGTGCAAAGAATTTTGAAAACCAAGCATACAAATGGTTTTCAAAAGGTTCACGGGAAGAACATGTATGAAAAATGTACACGTACAGATAGCTTCCCAAACAACAGGACAATAGGCAACGTCTCAGCTCCGTGGCAGTTACCATCCAGGGTGGGGGAGGTCTTTGGTGGAAGTATTCTACAGAAGCAATGATGGAATTTGTGGTTCCTTTTTTTTTTTTCTTTTTTGTGGAAGGACTCTGAGGGCTGGGTGTTCCAGAAAAAGTGAACAGGAAGAGCAGGGAAGGCTGGTCCCTAGTCCAGGCAAAACAAGAAAGCACAGGAAGTGACCATGCGCTCTCAGGGTGCAGCCCAGTTTACACCACAGAAGCCCACAGATAAACAGAGAGCAGCTAGGCAGAGTTTTCCACTGGAGAAGGACACCTGACCCCACATCTGACAGTGCTCAGCACACGGTGGGCTTTCAGGAGGTGGTATTTTAAAAGCCTGTGAACGATGCTAACGTGCGTAAAATTTACAGGATGTTTAAACAGTCTCAGATATCCCTCAACAAATGGCTTGTTAACCGTAAAAGAAATAAATGATAATCATACCAGGGTGAAACTTGACAAATAATCGTCCTAAGCAAGTGATCAAGTTAACACTGCCAATAAGAAGTCAAACATCACATGCCCCTTAATGTGATTTACTAAGAACTCAACATTACCTCTATAGGAACCTGGCCAAAAACGCACAGCTTCATTTAACCACAGGGATACATCAGACAAACCCAAAGGGAAGAACGATTATAAAGAAGGATTGCTAAGAATGTCAAAGACATGCAAAACAAATAAATGCCGAGGAGCTGGTCCAGATAACACGAGACTAAAGCAGCATGACAACTGAATGCAGCACACGACCCTCTGGGGGATCCCGGAGGATCCCGGAGCAGGGAAAACAGCCGTAACAGACAATGGTGGCTGGCTGCAAACAGCTGATTTGGGCTGTGGACCAAGCAGTACGAGAGACAGGTTTATTTTACTGCAAGTGTTTACTGGAGCAGTTAAGCTGCTGCTGGGGAAACCTGTATCCCACACGAGCGTGACTGGGTCCCTGCACCAGCTGGTCTACACTCTGAGAGCAAGCACAGGTGATGGCTATCCACGAGGAAGGTCTGCATGGAGTTCCTGCCTCCCACCTCTGGCCTGGAGCAACTCTGGAAATTCTATAAAACAACAGGATCATAACAGGGGTACGTGGCTTTATTATTGTGTTATCATAATAATCATTTACCATTTATACTTTCAGGGGAAAAATACATGTGCAGAAAGAAAATGAAACAATCAATGCACCTCTTATGGATGATCAATTAAACATCTGAGATTCTAAATGTCCCTTTTGAGACTGTTTTTGCTACATTTCACAGGTAATGATATCCTAGTCTTTTTTTTTTTTTTAGATCTATTTATTTTTATTGCAAAATCAGATATATAGAGAGAGGAGAGACAGAAATATCTTCTGTCTTCTGATTCACTCCCCAAGTGATTGCAATGGCCGGTGCTGTGCCAATCCGAAGCCAGCAGCCAGGAGCTCTTCTGTGTCTCTCATGCAGGTACAGGGTCCCATGGCTTTGGGCCTTACTCAACTGCTTTCCCAGGCCACAAGCAGGGAACTGGGTGGGAAGTGGAGCTGCTGGGATTAGAACCGGCACCCATATAGGATCCTGCAGCATTTAAGGCAAGGACTTTACCCACTAGGCCATGGCATGGGGCCCGATATTCTAGTTTAGTTTTAACTGTAATTTCTCCAGACCCCCATGGGTCATGCAGCAGCATCAGTTTCAAAAAGAAGGTTTTTGATTTTATTTTCAATCACTCTAGCGAAGTATTGGTGTTTTTGTAGCATGTTCATTAACTTGATGTGGATGAAAATGTGCCCTTTCCCTCCCTGTTGTGGACTGTGTTCCCTGAGTCTGCAGCTAAGGGGCCGTGCAGTGGAAGTGCAGCAGACTGATACGTTCAGAAGTGGAGACAAAGTGCAGTATGTCTCTATGCATCCAGACCAAAGACGGACTCCCAGTGGAACAGGCGGAATTGTTCTGACAGTTGGAAGCTGGACTCTCCAACACTGTCCATGTCCACAATGTCGGGAAACACCTCAATGACACGTGATGGATGTATGACTGTTCATGAAGGACCACAAATTGCAATACTACAGGGGAAATCAATTGGGGGGGGGAGGACTTTTAACTGCTAGACTACCACACCAGGCCTATAATTCATATTTTATTACTTTCCAATTTTTCTCTGATGAACACATATTTCTTTTTCAGGCAGAAAAAAAAAAAAGAAAAATTCACTGGTGAATAGAGTAACAATATAATCTAAATATGTATTAGAATTACTAATTCCTAAGTTGTGAGGAATTAAAGGCAATGCGGTTACGGATCAGGTCACTTTTCCTTTTCTGGAAATCTTTGGCACAGCGGCACTATCCCCCCTGGAAACACATTACCTTTGTAGCGGGTCTGGAGCTGCTTAAAATCTAGCTGCTGATCTGGCACTGTGTCTTTGATAGAATCCGGGTCCTCCAGGTAGAGGGAAAGCCTCAGATCTTCCTCCACTTCTTCAAATGCAGTTCGGTTGCGCCTGGCTTTAAGCTGCTCCTTGGACAGCTGCTTCACGGAGCGCGTGTAAGGGCTCCTGTCCTGCAGCACGTACCTGAGGAAGACCAGGACCGTTCTGTGTGCATGTGAGCTTGTCACGGAGGAACTCGGAGTGGCCACCAGAGGGCGCTGCCTCTGCCCTACACCCAGGCGCCCATCCTTGTCCCAGTCCAGGGGTTTCCTGGCTGGGAACACACTGGAATACTTCATTCTCATGACCTTCATTGGAGGTCAGATAAGAATTTGGAGAAAAGCCCTATCAAGGAGAAACATCATGAACATTCAAAAACACATCTGAGCTGCAGCTGTGGTAATGCCTCTTCTCATTTGATTTTTTCTTTGATAGTCTTCACTCCTCTCAAGTCAGGTAACTGACTCCTCTTTATTGCCGTCAAATTTAAGCCCCAAAATCCAGCTGTTGGAACCAGCATCTCCATAAGATCTTCCTTAAAACTCTCTCAAATTAGAAGGTTCAGCACTTGTAGGTGGGAACTCCTACAGACAACATGCAAGTTATCAGACTCCAACTCAAAGCTGCGGATTTCAGTTCTACGTCTGCCGTATCCTCTACCTACAGTGAGACTTCACTCAAGTCCATCGCAAAGGGCTCTGTTTTCTCAGCTTTGGAGAAAACGGGCCTGGACGAGTGGTTTGGAACTACTTTTCCTGGAGTCTTGATGCTTCCTCTGGCCCTAGGTAAAAGTGGAGTGTGTGAGTAAACAAATCGGGGCGCTGCCCTCTCTTTGAACATTTCTCTGTCAGGTCGCTCCTTCATTCACTCTTAGTTCTTTATGATTTCCTCTAAGATTTCATTTGCAAAAGTGCACTACTGCTTTTTCAAAATGATCTAAAATTCTATCATTCTATTATCTCTGTATTCGTACAACCCTTTCTCACCTCAAAGCCTGATCCTCTTTCCACATTCAATATTCATCGGCCATTGGCTGAATGCTTACTTCGCGCAAGGGCCGGTGGTAGTGGTGGCGTGCTATATAAAACGAGTATTCTTCCAAGAACTTACAAACTCGTAAGTAGAGACCAGATGGTGATAAATCAGACTGCACTTGCAAGAAAAACTACCCCATAAATACAACTAAAGCAGCACTGATTTCTAACATAAAAAAGTAAGCTACTGATTTCAAATACAAAGAACTTACTGATTTCTAACAGAGGAAAATAAGAAATTTCACTAGGTTGGGTGTTAATGAGTGACTGGATAAAAAAGAGGGAGAGTAATGGTATGGACATTTGAGACATTTGGACAGAGAGAGTCAAACAGTGCTAAGGTTTGGACGGGTAGGAAAGGAGGTGAAATACAACCTGGGTCCAGAGGATTAGGCCTGACTGCCCACACAGTGTGACAGGAAGCCAATGAAAGCTTTTAAGAAGAATAGGATCAGTTCTGTGTTTAGAGATAGTCCTGGTGGCAGTGGGTTTGAAAAAGCCAAAGAAAAACAGTAAACTAGTTGAAATTGATTTTCCAGGGAACTCAGTCAACAGGATCCAGAAAATAGAAATATTCTAAAAACACTATTTATCTATTCATTTTTATGTAAAAGCCAGAGAGAGAGACAGAGACAGACAGATAGATATGTTCTATTCACCAGCTCACTTTTCAACGCCCCCAAGACAGGAACTAGACCAGACCACAGCCGAGGGGGTCTCTGCAGTGGTGTGGATGACACGAAGGTGTGAAGAGCATGGTTCCCCTGTTTGGCAGGATCCAGAGGAGCGTCCAGCTGCACGGCAAGGCCCGGCAGATGTCTCTCGGACCACCTCGACGCAGTCTCACCCCCTTTTGCATGAATACTCAACCACCCCGCTGAGAATTCTGTCATCTATTGAGGTGTTGTTTGTCCCTTTGAGATTGTTTTTGCAACCAATGTGAGCTTGGGAGTTAATGCTATTGATAATGTCCTGGTTAGTGGGCATTTAGCTACACACAGGAGTACAAATAAGCCCATGCCATTTTGGACACCTTACTGTGTGCCTACCAATTGCCCTGGAATCTGTGTCCAGACAAGTATCATGCCTTCTGGGAAACGGCTTGATAAGAATCCTACAAACTAATGCAAGTATGAGCTGAAACTGCTATGGCAAAAAATACAGTTACCGTGACCCTAAAGGTCAGCCTGTCCTTGCAACTCCTTGGAGCATAGAAAAATGTAGCTGTTTTAGCCACTTTTATAATTTTTTGGCTACAGGAATAATAGGGTGCTTTTATTAATATCATAAAGATATGCTTTTGATTATTGTTTGATTATAGAGCTTGCAGTTGTAGAGAGATTTAATGTTTGAAATTTTTTGTTTTGGATCTTTATGTTTTTTCCCTTTTGATGTATTTCTCCCATTAAGTGATAGATAAATTACAGAAACAGAAATGTAGTAGGAATATATTACTAATTAGTAGGTAACTGGTTGTGCCCTTGGCCTTGGATTCCCGGCTGTCGCCTAATGGCTACTCTGAAGAATGAATGATGGCTTGCTTTGAAGAAACGGATTATAGTAACTTACAGAAATATCTTTAAGAACACCTGGTTGTCCATGAGATAAAAAATTAATTAATCAAACATCTGTACATGCTGGCTTAGCTCTGAAGTTAAAGACAGTAGTCAAATTTTATGCAGAGGCTTGTGATGTGTCTGAGTAAATAAAAAAGGACGGCTTCTTGAGCCATTACAGGAGCTGTTACTGTCTGTGCCTTTTCTTTTCACTAACTCCATACAGTCTTCTCCAGATCTGACCTGGAGCTGGCCTCCAGGACACAGCCAGGAACCAGAACTCAAGCAGCGTCTCCCACGTAGGTGGCAGTGACCCAAGTGCTTCAACCACTGGCTGCTGCCTCCTAGAGCGCACGTGAACAGGAAGCTGGGACGGGGAGCAGAACCAGACCTCCGATCCTGGTACTGTGATAAGTGACGCGGGCATCCCAAGCCACATCTTAACTGCTCCAACAAATGCTCGCCTCCAGAAAATAAAATTCCGTCAACGTTTCCTAAGTATCCTTGAAGCTTTTTTTTTAAGACTTATTTTTATTGGAAGGAGAAATATTCTGAGTTTAAGGTGTCAGACATCTGGGGTATTTTCCCAGTGTAATGGAAGATCAGAAATGAAGAAAGTAGAGATCTATGAGATCCTGGCTTGGGGCTGGAAGCTGAAATCCCAGCGAGAGCCAACGGACAGTTTACTAGGGAGCAGAAACAGCGCCCCCTAGTGCAGAAGGTTAAAGGACGGGAAGAAGCAGGTCTTGCAGATGAGAGAAATCTGCTCCTACACCTCGGACACCACCTGCTGCTCAGTACTGAAAACACTTGCACAGACATCCCAACACCCAGACTGCACTGCAAGGCTTTTCTCAGCAGAATTATGACCACGGCAAATATTCAGAAAACCTGCGGCATGTGCCAGGCACAACTGAAGCACTCCACAAAACTAACTCATTCCAGTTAAAAGTGCTGTGAAGTACCTACTGTTAGTACACTACTTCACATACGAGTAAACTAAGGTACAGAGAGATTAACTTCTTGCCAAGGTTACAGTTCATAAGTAAAGGAACTTAAACCATGATAGACTGTCTGCTGAAACAAAGAAGAAAAGAAACATTCTCAAGTGGAAAAATTAAAAGAAAAATGAACATTTATTAGTATAGCACACTGAGAGTAAAAGCAATAATTGTATTTTCTTTTTTTAAGTAATTCTGTTTTCAAAGACTTGCAGTGAACATTAATTAATACCTTCCTTACCTTGTCACAGCAATTGCATCTTCCAGAAAAAACTGATCAACAGGAAATGTACGACCTAGACAAACAAGAAAAAAGAATCTCAGAAAATCCATTCAATTAGACTGAAATAATTTAAAAAATGTAAAATTCTCTTAACAGTTGGCACTATAAGGTACTTTTTGAAAATGATTTACTTATTTACTCATAAGGGCAATGACAGAGAGAGAAGACAGAGGTCTTCCAATTGCTGGTTCACTCGCCAAATAGCTGCAACAGCGAATACTGCGACAGGACAGAGGTAGGAGCCAGGAGCTTTTTCTGGGACTCCGACATGGATGGCAGGGTCCACGTTCTTGGACCATTAATTAGCAGAGAGCTGGATAAGAAGTGGAGCAGCTGGGACACAAACAAACATCCATACGGAATATTAGCGTGGATGACACCAGTTTAATGTTGCAACACCAGCCCTAACTTTTTCGATATTTTATTTATTTTTATTATAAAGTCAGATTTAGAGAGAGGAGAGACAAAGAGAAAGATCTTCCATCTGCTGCTTCACTCCCTGAGTGACCACAGTAGCTGGAGCTGAACTGATCCTAATTCAGAAGCCAGGAACTTCTTCCAGGTCTCCCATGTGAGTGCAGTGTCCCAAGGTTTTGGGCCATCTTCCACTGCTTTCCCAGGTTACAAGTAGGGAGCTAGATGGGAAGTGGAGCAGCCGAGACACAACCTGGAACCTATATGGGATCCTGGTGCATGCAAAGAGAGGACATTACCCATTATGCTACTGTGTGTTTTTTTTTTTTTAAGTGAATTGACCTTAGATGGAGCCCATCCATTGATATATTTTTTGTTATTTATTTTTAATTTTATTTTTATTACAAAGTCAGATATACAGAGAAGAGGAGAGATAGAGAGGAAGATCTTCCATCCGATGATTCACTCCCTGAGTGCAACAGCCAGTACTGTGCCGATATGAGGCCAGGAGCCAGGAACTTCCTCCAGGTCTCCCACACGGGTGCAGCGTCCCATGGCCTTGGGTCGTCCTCAACTGCTTTCCCAGGCCACAGGCAGGGAGCTGGATGGGAAGTGGAGCTGCCAGGACTAGAACCGGTGCCCATATGGGATCCCGGCAAGTTCAAGACAAGGACCTCAGCTGCTAGGCCACTGTGTCGGGCCCGCTACTGTGTTTTTAACCTGTTACACTTTTCCCACTCTCTCCTTCCCCTTACAGGAAGACCTTTAAACATCCAACAACTGTATTTTAGAACAAGTTTCTTCATTAAAACTATTGCGAACATCCTCTACTACTGGAACAAATGGTTCTATTATATACCACTCAGTATTTCCAAATAATCCCTTTGGTAATCTAGTGCAGAGCGATAAACCAAAGCCCTGACTGATGGGCTAATCATACAGTAAGACTGTGAAACCACCAAAAGAGAACACAGACTATCCAATTTCACCTTGTTCCTGAATGGACCGACACCCAGGCATAGCAGAATCCAGAAATTAACATATACACAATACACAGATACAACTTTCTCTATGAAAATCACTCTATGACAGATTGTCACAGCAAACTCATTGTGATGTTAAATGCAATGGAATGACAGAAATTCTAAACAACTGAGATTTTAATTGCAATGCACTGCTGTGATTCTGGCATAAATAAACCGGTTCTCCAGAAAGAGGCCTAAATACCTATGAATTCAAATGAATAATTATATATACTAATTAGAAAGATATATATACTTATTGGTTTTTTAGTCACCTGGTATAGTGATAACTGGGCAGGAATTAAAGTATTCTGAAAACAGCTCCGCATTTAAAGTTGCGCTCATTAGAATAACCTTTAGAGTTGGTCTCTGTGGCATAATGTCCTTTAAAACCAGCAGCAGGAAGTCACTAGAGAAAATAATAGAAACACATGAGGATCAAATAAGTTTATACATGAAAGTCAATAGCTCAAAAAAACTTCCAAATTTTCATTGGGGAAGGGAGAGAGACAGTGAGAGAGAGGAGAGAGAGAGAGAGAGAGACAGAGAAAGAAACATATTCCCATCTGCTGGTTCAACCCTCAAAAGCCTACGGTGACAGCTTTGGGCCAAGCCAAAGCCAAAAGCTTGAGGCTCAATGTGGATCTGCCATGTGGGTTACAGGGACCCGGTTCCTTGAGTCACGGCCTCTGCTTCTCAGGGTACACATTAGCAGGAAGCTGGAGTCAGAAGGCGCCGGCAATCAAAGCCAGTGCTCAGATGTGGGAGGCAGGACATTTCCCCAGCATCTGAACCACTAGGTTAAAAGCCTGCTCCTTAACACATTTTGATGTATTTGAGCAATGATATCTGAGACCTATAGGAATAAAAAATTGTGACACTCTTAGAAAGATACATCATGCTGTTGGATGACTTACTATTACAAAGATACCGATTCTTTGAAATAAACTAAATTCACTGCAGTATCAATCAAACTAACAATAGCATTTATTACTGAATTTGATATTCTACCTTGATATTTATGTGCGCACAAAGAAGCATATACAAAGATTTTCATTTCAGCACTGACTGTAATAGCAAAACGGGAATTACCAAAGTGTACATCCACCAAGAAATGCTTAATTACAACACTACGATCAGGTCTACAGAATCACATAAGGAATACAAAAGGAGTGAGGCAGGGGAGAACATTTGATCTAGCAGGTAAGATTCCACCTGGGATGCCTGAGCCTCATGTCAGAGGGCCTGGATTCATCCTCAACTCTTTCTCCTGACTCTGGCTTCCTACTCTTTCAGACCCTGCAAGGCAGTGGGGATGGCCGAGATAACTGGACTCCTGTCACCCACTTGGGAAACCTACTTTGAGATCTCAGCTCCTGGCTTTTGCTTGCAAACTGTGGCCCATGCAAAGAGCTACAGAGTGGACCCCTGGATGGCAGCTCTGTCTTTCAAATAAATAAAACTTACTTGGACAACTTTGCATTTCACTGCCTTCCACACCTCGTGTGGCTCTGAATCTTAGCTGTTCTGTTTTCCTTGGCCATGAAAGCTCATTGATGTTCTCGCCTACTGGTGCCCTTCCCCCTGCAGCCAAGGACACAGGCATCTCCCCTCTCCCCATCTGGCTCACCCTAAAGGTTAGGGATTCAGGCTCTGTGAGTCACTCTGTACGCCAGTTGGTTCCTTGATTAAGGCGAGACTGTGTATTATTTATCGTTGCTCATGTTTGCTTGTGTGTGTGCTGTTTGTCACCTGGTCCTGACACCCAGCTGGAAGCCAGCAGATCACTCAGTTAAAGCCTAAACAAGTCGTTTTTGCTCCTTCTGAATGGGGAGGGGGATAAACTTGGTTGTCTCAAGCTAATTAGCAAAGCTGATTAGAAGTGCTAAACAGTTATAAATTTTAAGTTTTGGTTCTAAATGGGTGCTGGTTCTAGAACAGGCTGCTTTACTTCCTATGCAGTAAAACTCCCTGAAATTCTCCTGGAAAAGCAGTGGAAGATGTGACAAATTCTTGGACCTGGATGGAGTAGCAGGCTCCTGGCTTCAGCCTTGTCTACCCTGGCCAATATGGTCATTGGGGAGTGAACCAGTGGATGGACGATCTCTTCACTTCTCTGTAATTCCGCCTTTTAAATCAATCAACCTTAGTAAATTCTTTTTTTTTTTTTCTAAGAAAAAGAGAGTGAAAGAGAGAGAGAGACTCCATTTGCTGGTTCAATCCATAAACGCTTCCAAAGCCAGGGCTGGGTCAAGGCAAAGCCAAGAACCAGGAAATACATGCTGCTCTCCCACACTGGTGTCAGGAACCAGTTTCTTAAGCCATTATTAGCTGTCTTCCCAAAGTACACATTAGCAGGAAGCTGGACTGGAAGCACGGTTGGGACTTGAATCTCTTCAGATCTCATCTATGAACACTTTACGTATTCACTGCTTCAAAGTACCTGTTCCAATGTGTGATTGCTCATTTAATTGTTCTCTTGTTCATTGTTTCATTTTCCTACCAGACCATAGGAGATGAGAGGTCACCACACATACTTCTTCACCATTATACCTCCAAGGTATTTAATACTGGATCAATACACACAAGAGTAAAGGTCAGGACTGAATGATTGAATAAAGAAGGAGGCACAGATTGATGGACCTATGAACTACAGCCTGCATTACATCCGTTATGCTTATTAAAATGCAACGTTCTGCTCATTAGGTGCCCAGGAGGATGTGAAACTTTCCTTCCAATCTAACAGGATGACTATTTTAGTGATGAGCATCTGCTCTCTTAACATTTTTAGGATACAGACCCTGGCGGCCAGGAAAGCTGTTCCTCTTGACTAACTTGGGCCTTCTTAAAGGCAAATTAACTTTAGTAATCTAGGAAACTGAACTGCAACAAAACAAAACAAAAAACAAGACTTTTTTCACTCATGTGTTTCCTGTTACGTTTCGAGTGTTCACTGGGAGAATCTCGTTGTTACCTTTCTTCTGTTCGCTCATGAACTTCATCCACAATGACATGGGTGACTCCCTGTAAAGCTGCGTCGCCTTCGAGCCTTCGCAGCAGCACTCCCGTGGTGCAGTACAGCAGTCTGGTGGCTGAGGACTTGAAGGGGAAATGGGAAGAGTGTTTATGAAATGTTTGAAATCTACCAGCAAGCCACTGTGAACGCATGAGGATAAAGAATATTGCAAATGGCAGTTTCACTTACTATGAAACGACACTGAACATATCGCTTGTGGCTGTGGACAACAATGAAAGTTCTTCTACTATGTCAGAATTTTAAGTATAATATTCTCATAAAAGGCAGTCAAAATGATTACAAAATACCCTAGTGCTGATGAAATAAATTTTGAGTTTGCTCCTTAGACTAAGTCCCAGGTTCAAGAGGAAAACAAGAGCAAGTGTTTAGTTGCACAGTTAAATGCCACCTGAGGTGTCTGCTTCCTGTATTAGTGTGCCTGGGTTGAAGCCTCCACTCTCCTCCTGTTTCCAACTTCTGCTGATGTGCACCCTCTGGGTCACCAGGTGAATTCCCAGTTGCTGCAGGTGTGTATAAAAAGGAGTCGATCTCTCTCCCTCTCTGTATCTCTTCCTTTCTGTGTCTGCCTTTCAAAAACTTAATTTTAAAAAACAAAAACTGCATTTACTAGGTTACTTCTGTCAATAAAGAGTAGAAATTTTTGTAGAGCAAATTTAGCATAACCAAGTGAGAACTCCTGTGTTAAAATATTTATAAAAGAACTTTGGCGGTACTGAAGGCGATCCTTAATTTAAAGCAGTGTGAGAGTAGATATGTGTATCTCAAATTGACCATGAATTTCCTGACTCCAAAACTTTTTATATGTGAAAATTATAAACTCCTATAACCAAGAAAGCAGCAGAGCATACAAACCTTGACACTTTCTAGCCGAATCTGGTATCCCACCGTCAGACCCACTCTTTCTGTTCTTTCTTTAGCAACACGTTCAGCAACAGAGATGGCCGAGATTCGTCGGGGCTGGGTACAAATGATGTTAGCTACTTTTTCAGGTGGTCCATTCAGAGAATCGTCCAGAATAAACTGAGGAATCTGTGTGGTCTTCCCACATCTGCTGGTCAAACCAAGTAAGTCTTAAAATAAGTTTTCAAGGGCCAGTTAACTAAAGAATCAATCACATGTAATGAGGAAAGTGATAAAGGTAATCACAACGACGACCTTCTAAAACGATTTACTGGTTTAATATCCACAACTGATCAATTTGAGGAATCTGCATTCAGATTAACAGGGAAATTCAATCATATTCTACTCTCATTTGCAAAATTGGGACTACTGAAAGACATCAAATGTAGACTTGCAAATGCCTGTAACAATGTGAATTCTACGTATAAATCCTAAAGAAGGAGGATTTTTAATTTGATATGGCTAGAAGTGGACTGAGGTTAAAATGGCAAGAGGCTACTTTCTGATACCAAAACAAAAAACAAAACAAACAAACCAATGCAGTTTGTTTCATTAATACTCATTCTTTGAGAACTTTTTGAAGACTCTTCATATACATGGACCTCAAAATCTTTTGCACTAAAAATTTCTACATAATCTACATAATAATCTACATAATAATCACACATACAGATAAGAAACTAGAAGATACTAGGTTACTACTACAGGGGCAGGTTACGCCTGTTGCTTAGCAACACCAGCATCCCATACAAGTGCCAGGCTTCAGGTGGCATTCTAGGCTGCTGGCTCCAGCTTGGTCCAGCTCTGACCACTGGGGCCATTTGAGTAAAGAAGCAGGATACAAGAGTCTTCCTCTCTGTCTTTTCCTCTTTATAATTCTACTTTCAAATAAATAAACTACAGTGTTTTTTTTTTTTTTTAATAAAGATTGCTACTGTAGTGAATCTGGGCATAAATTAATTAAATTAATTAATCCATTGTATATTCTTGAATAAATCACTAAATTAAGCCTGCAACTTGCCCCTGCTAAGTAAATTTGTACATGGGGAGTATGAAATAGAAAAGATAATTCACCTCAAATTGTTCTTAAAAGAATAAAAGCTTTAAGGAAATCAGAATGACCCCAGGAAATAAACACTTCCAAGCCAAATGTTCTGGAGCTATTTCTTAAATTTAAATATGGTCCTGGTTAAGTTTTCAGCTGAACTCCCTACTTTACATCTGTCTCAAGGCAGAGGTAAACATTTTGGAGAGTCTGGTTGTTTTAAATTTGGCTTTTTCAATTACAGAAGTTGCAATGATAGTCTCCAAGAAATATTACTTCATTCGAAAAGATAAAGTAAAAGTTAACACCAGCTCTTGCTTGTTGGCTTTGTTTTCACAGGCGAACTAGTTAGGTAACCAGGGTATTCATGGTTTACATAAAGGAAAGCTGCATCATGGAGGCAGGGACTGTGGCCCAGTGGGTTAAGGATTTGCTTGGGTTGTCCACATCTTGTATCAGAACGCTGCTTCAAGCACCAGCTACTTAGCTTCTGATCTAGCTTCCTGCTGACACGCTTGGGAAGGCACAAATGACTGCCCACGTACTTGGGTTCTTGCCTTCCATACGGTAAACCTGGATGAAGCTTCTGGGTTCCTGGCTTGAGTCTGGCCCAGTCCTGTCTGTTGCAACATTTGGAGAGTGAACTGGCAGATGGAAGCTCACTCACTCATGCTCTCTCTCTGCCATTTTGTCTTCCAAAATAAAGAAATAAAACTGAAAAAAAAGTTACATTATGAACAAATTACATTCTCACCCAGTCATACCACTTATGACAACCACTTGGTGCTTGCTCAACAATTTGAGAATGTTCTCTCTTTCTTCCCAAGCAGGGAGTGATTGTCTTTCTTGTAGAATTGACAGGAACTGTCTGGAAGCCTAACAAAAACAAACAAAAGGTACCAGTTATTTTTACTCACCTTTCACAAAGACTTGAATCCAGAACCCCATAGTTAGACCCATTCTTCCTCTATCTTTAACAACTTCTCTAGAGATGAGACCACAGACATTTGCAATTGGATGCAGATGACTCTAAAAAAGGTTGTTCAAAGAAACATCTAGAGTATGCTATAGAATCTATGCAGTCTTCCTGTATGTGAACATGCTAGAAGATCAGAGAAGTGAAACAAACTTCCCTTAGTCTACTCAACTCCTAGCATGTGTGTCCGTACCAGCACTGTCAACAGAGCTTTCTGTGTGGATGGAAATGTTCTATATCTCCATTATCCAATGTAGTATGCCCCAGTCACCTGTGAATAGCGACCCCTTGAAATACAGACCAGGCTAGAGAGGAACTGAATATTTAATTTTAATGAATTTATTTTAAGTTAAAGACTCAAAGGAGGCTAGGGGCTACCATGCTGGACAGGTTTATTTTTTTCTAAATCAATGTGCTCAGGATCACAAAGTTGTGGGAAAAGGGGGATTCAAAGCCAATAAGGGTATGTTTTGGCTAATCACATGTATGTAAATAGTTTCACTTTCAATTGCTAATGCTATAAAGATTGTAATGCATGTTAAAATTATAATTGTGCTTTTGAACAATTTAAGAAATTTATGCTAACATGCCATTTCCTGATTGATCAAAGTATGTGGATTTTCCTATCATTTAATTCATGGTATAGTTTTATTCATACTTTGATGTTCTGTGGATATCATACTATATATATATGAGAGGGTGCTATACTATGTCAAAAATCAGAATCACAAACTAAAACTAGAAGGCCCTGAAACAGCATTTAATGCAACCCTCAAACTGATTAAATAACGCATCCTGGTCCAACAGCCAGCTATGTCTCAGAGTTCACTTATGGATTCTTTCAAAAAACATTCACGTAAATAGATTCTAAGCAAGGACTTTGGAAATAGAGAACTAGGTTTGAACCCCTCTGTCGTCATTTACCAGCTATGTGATCTTGGGCATATAATTAATCTCATGAGCCTTTGAAATGGGGTGAGAGTCCTTCCTGTTCCTTTTACACCCCAGTTTTTCCAATGCCAACCACAATATGAACAGTCTTTTCACACATCAGGCTGTTTATCAAGGAACCAAAGGCACAAGATTTCAAGAATATTTGGTGGAAATGCGAACGACTGCTATTCATCAGCTGTGGGATTTTCTAGAACAATTTAGCACATGCAATCCTATTTTGCTGTGGCATGTGGAAACTGACTACTGAGGGTGAAAGAGCCATAGAGGTACAAGGAGGAGTAGACAAAGCTTTTTCATTCAATGCCCTTTATCCAAACATTAGGGAGCGAAGGCAGTCCCTCTCTCGGCATTCCATACCTGTTTGATTTGGAATTGCTTGCAGATTTTAGCATTTTCAGCATGTACTGACTTTGCCTGCCAGTCATATCTTTTGGAAATCTTTTTCTTAAGGTTCACATAGCTTTCCTTCTCCACCATAACTGGTGCAGGACCTTCATCCTCATCTGCCTCCTCCTCGGGTTCTGATTCTTTTTCAACTTGAAGGGAATATAAGGGAACAATTTGCAAGAGCCCTACAATACCATGATGCAACCCACACCAAATGCCCATGACATGATCAACTGATAAACAAAATGTGGCATGTCCATATAATGGACTAGTATTCAGCAGTACTCATATAGGCTACAACATGAATGACCCCTGAAAGCATTACTTCAGAAAAGAAGCCAGTTTCAAAGAGCCACGTATCATGTGACTTCATTACTATGCAACATCCAGAACAGGTAACTGCATAGATTGATTGTAAATTAGCGGGTGTCAGGGAAAGGGGAAAGGGGAAGGGAGGGTAATCTGCCCTTTTCTTGGGGTGATTGTGTTTTGAAATTAGACAGTGATGATGGCAATACAACTCCCTAAAAATACTAAAAGCAACCCAATTGTGTATATATTTTAAAGATATATTCACATCACTTGAAAGAGTTACAGAGAGAGAGGGAGTCAGGGAGAGATCTTCCACCTGCTGGGTCCGACCCCTAAATGGTCACAAGGCCTGAGCTGGACTAATCTGAAGCTGGGAGCCAAGAGCTTCTTCCAGGTCTCCTATGTAGGTGAAAGGACCCAAACTTTGGCTCGGTCTCCGTTGCTTTCCCAGGCCACAGCAGGGAGTTGGGTCAGAAGTGGAGTAGCTGAGACATAAACTGGCAGCCATATAGGATGCCTGGTATAGCCTGCTACAACATAGTTCTGGTGTCTGAAATGTATACTTTAAAAGGGTGAATTTGGGCCCTGCGTGATAGCATAGTGGCTTAATCCTTGCCTTGCAACCACCAGGATCGCATATGGGAAGCTCCACTTTCCTTGCAGCTCCCTGCTTCTGGACTGGGAAAGCAGTCGAGCATGACCCAAAGCCTTGGGACTCTGCACTCATGTGTGAGACCCAGAACAGGCTCCTGGCTGCTGGTTTTGGATTGGTTTAACTCTGGCCATTGTGGCCACTTGCAGAGTGAGTTAGTGGATGGAAGATCTTTGTCTCTCTTCTCTGTAGATCTCACTTTCCAATAAAAATAAAGCTTAAAAAAGGGGAGGTGAATTTGGGAGTCTGGCACCATGGCTCAACTGGCTAATCCTTCCCTTACAAAGTGCAAGGATCCCACATGGGCACAGGTTTAAGTCCTGGCTGCTCCACTTCCAGAAGAAGCTCCTGGCTTTGGATTGACTCAGCTCCAGCATTGTGACCATTTGGGGAATAAACCAGCAGATAGAAGATATTTCTGTACCTCCTTCTCTCCGTAAAATCTGCCTTTTCAATAAAAATAAATAAATCTTAAAAAAAAAAAGGTGAATTTGGGGACCAGAGTTGTGGCACAGCATGTTAATCCATAGACTGCAATGCCAACATCTACTGGACTATCAGTTCAAATTCTCGCTGCTCTACTTTCCTGATCCAACTCTCTGCAAATCTGGGAAAGCAGCAGAAAATGACCCAGGCTTTAATGAATATGAGAGACTCGGATAGAATTCCAGGTTTCTGCTTTTGGCCTGCCCAGGACCACTGGGAGATCCCAGAGCAGCCTGAGGAGCTCTGACTTTTAAATGCACCACCATTCTCAATGTTCTCCACAAGACCAACGCCTTACATACCTTCTGGACTTGGATTTGAAACAGAAGAATGATTTGGGATCACTGGTTTACGACAGGCAGGATTATTTGCTCGGGTCCGAGAGGGTACTGGCAGAAAATTCACAGGAGGGACACTATACTTGTGGTGAGTATGTGTTAGTAACTTGACAATTTCCGATTCTTCTTGTAAAAGGGTTATTAAGGAATATACCACAGGTTCTGAAGTTTCTGCATATGTCAAGGCCTTGTCATAAAGGAACTCAGAAATATTTAAACGACAGGCCGGAGGTAGATTCTCATTGGTGGAGTAAAATGCCACAAGGGGAGCTTCATAGGGGTATTTGTGGTTTTTAGAAAATCGAATTTCAAGTTCATACAAAAAGGATGCATCTTCATTAGCATTAAGATGAGAATCATCTACAATTCTTTCTGCTCTTCCAACCATTTGATTTGGGGGCACTTCATGCTTGAATTTGCATCTGGATCCAAATTTACAATTTCCTTTGAGGTAAAATTTACAGGTTTCAGGTGAAATCTCTGGCACATTTTTGGCACTTTCCTTTTGCTTGGACTGACAGAATTTACTTGTCAAATATTCCAGATCTAATCCAATGGTCCAGACTCTGTTGTGAATCCTTTCTACGAATCTGTCTCCACAGATTGACCTGAGGGCGAAGGCCTCTTCCTGCCGCTGCTCCACACACTGGTCCAGGCTTATCAGCTCTGCTGCCGTGGAGGTCTTCATCCTCTCTCCAAACGTGTCGGAGAAGCACTGGGTGAGCAGCAGCTCGAGGGATGCCCCCAGATCGCCATCACAAACCCTCAGGGCTGCCTGGCAGCGTTCCAGGTCGAAACCATACCTGCCAAAGACAAAACATGACAGAAATGACAAGGAAGAAGTTCTAGTGCTTCACCCAAGTGAAAGCCACTTTACATATGCTTACATGAAATTGTGATTCTCTGGCTCGTCTTGAAAAGACTACCCCCGGTAATCTTAATCCCCCCCGTTTAGTCCCCCATCGCTACTAGAGAAGGCCTTAGGCACATCAGGCACTGCTGCAACCCACACAACAGCAAAGTAGCCAAGGAGGGCAGGAGGGGTTTTAGTGTGACACCAGTTTCCATGACTTCTTCCCTAACTCCCCATCACAACGGGAGCAGTCACCTGCAAAGTTTCTGCACTGCAAAGGGTGAGACTGCAAAGTCAGCGGCGGGAGGCTCCCCTGGGGCTGGGCCGGCACAGTCCGAAGGCTCCAAGTCCGGAATGAGGGAGGGCTCTTGTCCAGCTGGCCAGTAGCGCTCCTCGTCACAGCAGTCGGGCTCATCGTCCACCTCCTCCCCAGAAAAGCCTTTTCTGGAGAAGGCGACATTTTCATACATCAGATACGAAATGCAGAAAGGGGAAAGGAGCTGAATTTCATTCAAGGCACCAGGAATATACAATCCTGATGACTCTTCCGTAACTGATTTAATTTTGGGAACTGTTAATTTAGCATTGTGGCAATTACTATTTATCAGACATTGATTACAGTCCTGTATAACCCTATAAGGTACTACTGGAATCCCTATTTTTCAGATAATTAACTAAAACTTAAGAGAGGATTAGTAACTGTCTAAAGTTCTCCAATCAGGAACAAGTAGACATTTTACCCAAGACAGTCTAATCGCAGAGACTCTGTTCCTAAACACAGGAACCTCAGCTATCATTTCTCTTATTCATAAAATGTATCTCTGGGGGCTGATGCTGTGGTTTACTGCGTTAAGCACTCCACTTGCAATGCCAGCATCCTATGATATCCCGTTATGGGAAAGTGATTGGAGTTCTTGCTGCTCAGCTTCTGATCCAACTCCTTGCTATCAGCTGTGAAGGCAGCTGAAGTTGGCCTAGGGATGGTGGCCCCTTGTACCAATGTGTGACACTTCCTGGCTTTGACCTGGCCCATACTTGCTTTTTATGGCCACTAGGGAGTGAACCAGAGAATGGAAGATTTCTGTCTCTTCCGTTCCCTTTCAAATAAATAATCTAAACAAAAACAAAAGTGAACAAGAAACACACACACACACACATAGGGGTTGGTGTGACGGCGTACTGGCTACAGCCTTGCTTGGCATGTGCCAGGATCCCAAATGGGTGCCAGTTTGTGTCCTGGCTGCTCCACTTCCAATCCTGCACCCTGCTTCTGGCCTGGGAAAGCAGTACATGGCTGGCCTAAAGCCTTTGGACCTTGCACCTCCATGGGAGAACAGGAAAAACTCCTGGCTCCTGGCTTCAGATCAGCTCAGCTCTAGCTGTTATGGCCATTTGGGGAGTGAACCAGCAAACAGAAGATCTTTCTCTCTCTGACACTTTCTCTTTCTCTCTGTAAATCTGCCTTTGGATCATCATGAATACTATCATGGAATAATTACGCTTGTAATTCTCTTGGTTCACTTTTATCTAATTCGATGACCTTTCAGGATCAATATTGATACAGCATGCCCAAGGTGCACAGGACCTTCAAGGAGCCCACATGTTTTTCTTAACACAGTATTTGAATCAAATAAAATAACTTACTCAGATCCAGCGTCTGCATCTTGTTCCTGCAGGTCTCGGAGAAGAGCTTTCACTTTCTCTTGATTCTCAGAAGTCATCTGCAGAGTCTGCAGGGGGACTTTGGCTTGGGGCTTCCATTTGGGGAGTGGCTCTCCTTTGCTAATGCTACTGTTGCTAGGTCTGCAAAGGACACCAGAGCAGAATTACACACTTACCTGCCATCAAAGCTTTTGCGGTCTCCTCCAAGTTCCCATTTAAACACAACAAGAGGTGAACTTTCAAATATTTTACAAAGGACAGCAATGAATGGCTACAGATTATTTCCTAACGAGGCCACACTCCATTACACTGGAACTGCCGGAAGAAGACTCAGCATCATTAAGTCCGACTTCACTTATTCACCAGCTGGAAAAAGCATAGCTAATGACCTTCCCCCAACAACAGAGCTCAAAAAGAAGTCACACACAAAGGATATTTATTTCATCTTATATTAGGCACTCAATCTGAAATCAACCGAGTCACATCTTTCTTGCAAATACCAGGCCCTATTTTAAAAAATCCAAATTATCATCACTACTTGATTATAAAATAATATAGGTTCACTGCAGAAAGGCAAAAAATGAAGGAGAAAAGTCATCCCACATCACATAGTTTTTAAAAAAAATTTATGTATTATTTTCCATGATTCAGTTTTGTAGTTATAGGGATTTCTTTTTATCCCTCCCCTTCCTCTCTGCCCATATTCTCCTTCCCACATTCTCCTCCACAGTATCCCAGTACTGCAGCTCGTTAGTAACAGTTACAACCTTATTTTCTACCATTTAAGTGCATCATGGCATTGTAGAAATGGGCAAAGGTAGAACAGCTAGCGTTCTACTGCCAGGGTTTGTATTTATTTATTTATTTTCTGCCAAGGTATATTTAACTCTTTAATTGGAGTAAAAGTGTACCTTTTAAATAAAATTACATAGCATATGTAATTGTTTTATTTGCTTCACTTGCTTATCAAAGTAATACTAACTTATTTCTAAACTTAATCTCATAACAATCTTAAATGGTTACATACAGATACAGATGTACTGGATTCATTACACTGATTCATTTTTGGAATTTAGATTTTTAAGAACTATTTTTGGTATTCAAGACAGTAAATTCTATTGTTAAGAACTATTTTTGATATTCAAAATAGTAGATTCTAAAGTTTTACTTATTCAGTATGTCATATTTTTTATTTGGCCTGTTCCATGATAAATTTTTGCCGAAATTTCACTGTGTTTAAAATCCAACATGTTAAAATCCAACATACTGAAAAGAATCACATTTATATACTCACAAAGCCAGGTAGCAATGCAGAATATAGTTGTTCATTTTAACCACCTAGTTCAACTTTTTTGAAAAGAAGTCTTACTCTTACCCAAATTCATCGTTTTCTCCCAACTTGTGGTTTTCAAAAATCTTAAAAATACAGGATCATTTTTTACCTGAACTCATCAATTGTTTTACATTTGCCAAACGTGCATGCATTTAAACATACACTCACTCCTTTTCTGTACCCTTTTTCCTCTTCTCTCTCTCTCTCTATTTATACATATATAAAACCATTAAGGTCACAGAAAAGTGGGAGTAAGACAGGCTTACTTGGGCACAAAAAATTTGTAATGGATATATATATATTTTATAATAAGCATTTTCCAGGAACACTGTGAAGACTCCTGGTATGCATGGTCAGAATTATTTGACATTTTTTCCCCCTTAGCCATCCATTTTCCCACTCATTAGTGATGAAAACTGTTCTCATGCTTGAACATTCAAAGAGCACAATGACCTGGATGGGCGCCTTGATTCACCGAAGACACAAAAATCATCTCCATCATCCCACATCCTACTGGAAGCCTTTCGGTTGCCGCCTCCTCCGCCCCCACTGCCCCCGCCACTGCTGCCATGAGATTTACTAGGGTGGCCTCGGCCTCCTCTTCCTCCTTTGGAAGAGCCTTTCCCGCTTCCTTTGCCTGGCTTGCCTTTCCGCCTCACCGAAGAACTCATTTCACCTGCAAGAGAAAAAAATTTAATATGGACATTCATGTCAGAGCTATGGATATGGTCTACTTTAAAGAAAATAAAGAATAGGGGAGAAGAGACACCACCAGATCTGATCAGATCATACTGTAAAAGTGTTGTGTGATACTGCACTGTACCCCACAGGATGTACAAGTATTGGGCCTGATATGATGACTCGATCGGCTAATCCTCTCCTTGCAAGCCTGGGATCCCATACGGGTGCTGATCTGTATCCCAGCTGCTCCACTTCCCATCCAGTTCCCTGCCTGTGGCCTGGTAAAGCAGTGGAGAACGGCCCAAAGTCTTGGGACCCTGCACCCGCATGGGAGACTTGGAAGAAGCACCTGGCTGCTGGCTTCAGATCAGTTCAGCTCTGGCTGTTGAGGCCTCTCTGGGAGTAAAATAGTGGATGTAAGATCTTTTTCATTTTCTCTCTGTAAATCTGATTTTCCAATAAAAAAAACTTGAAAAAAACAAAAAAACTTGACCTCACAAGCCAGTCGCTAGAAATTAAAACAAATGATACTAACAAGTCCTGGAGAGGGGACAATCAGTATGTACTGCTTCCTACAAAAACTTACATGGCAGGCAAAGAAGCACCAAGTATGGTTCCCTACAAACTGCCTGTGATTGAAACAAACTTAATTTAAGATGTCAAAACAGTCACTTATAGGGCCTGGCACTGTGGCCTGGTGGCTAAAGTTCTCACCTTGAATGGGCCGGGATCCCATACGGGCACAGGTTCTAATTCTAGTGGCCCTGCTTCCATTCCAGCTCCCTGCCTGTGGCCTGGGAAGGCAGCCGAGGTCAGCCCAAGGCTTTGGAACCCTGCACCCATGTGGGAGACCCGGAGGAGTCCCCTGGCTTCTGGCTTCAGATTGGCTTAGCTCCAGCTGTTGCGACTGCTTGGGGAATGAATCAATGGATGGAAGATCTTCCTCTCTGCCTCTTCTCCTCTCTGTATATCTGCCCTTCCAACAAAAATAAGTAAATCTTAAAAAAAAAATTTCACTGCAAGATTTCTAGAGTCAGTATGAAGTTGAGACAAGGTGGAGCAAGTACTTGAGCCACCAGAAGGAGTTCCTGTTATCTCAAGACACACAAGGTTTGAGTTTTCTCGCTCTGAAGATAAACAGATTCCCTGTGTGTACCTGGGTCACGCTGACTGGGAAGGCCCAGGCTGATGAACATCAATGTGCAGCTCATTAAACATTCATTGTAATACATTAGCTTGCTAAATGACAGAGGAAACGTAAGATCAAATGGGCAGCAGCTGGAATTTGGGGACTCCAGCCACTTTCCAGAAACCCATGAGTATTTCTTCCCCTTTATTAGAATGTACACCTCTCCATTAAGCAATCCATATAATTTTAAACAGAGATCAAAGACAGGCCATTCCCCTCCTAGTGATCCTCTGTTCTGATTGCACAATGTGTGATTTTGTTTTCTTGATAAAATGGTTGCTGCTTTCTATTTGCTATTCTCCAAATTGCTTCTGAATCCTCTGATGAGGAAAAGGCAAGGACTTGGATATCAGACATTTGCCCAAATGACAATAGAAAGAAGAGATGACTCTGAAAAGAGAATGTCATTGAAAACACAAGCTGAAGAACAGTGAGAACATCAGTGGGTATATCAAAGGAAGAGGAGAAATAGAGGAGAAACAGAAATAATGGCCAAAAAAAAAAAATCCAAACTGTTGAAAAATAATAATACAAATTTAGGAAGCTCAATAGACTATGACTGATGTGAGCAAGGCAGGGAATCAAAAAGACAACAGGGGGCCCAGTATGACAGCCTGGTATCTACATCTTCACCTTGCAGGTGCTGGGATCCCATATGGGCACTGGTTTGTGTCCTAGCTGTTCCACTTTCCAGTTGAGCTGATCTGGAGTCAGGAACCAGGAGCTTCTGCAGGTCTCCTATGTGGGTACAGGGTCCCAAGGCTTTGGGTCATCCTTGACTGCTTTCCCAGGCCACAAGTAGGGAGCTCGGTGGGAAGTAGAGCAGCCAGGAATATGAACTGGCACCTATATGGGATCCTGGCACTTGAAAGGTGAAGGTTTGGCCATTGAGCCATCATGCCGGGTCTGAGAGTGCTTATTTAAAACAAATGCTAATGGATCTAGAGAGACACAGGCTCCAAGACAATAATAATAGAGAACTTTGACATTCCATTTTCATCAGTGGACAGGGACGGATCAACTAGACCAAAAAAAAAAAAAAAAAAAAGGGAATGAACAAAGAAGCAAGAGAGTTAGTCTACACTACAGACCAAATGGACCTAAGTGATATCTACATTTCACCACTTAGCTGTAAAACTCATTCATTTTGTCAAAGACAGACTGTATGCTAAGTCATAAAGCAAGTTTCAATCAATTAAAAAAATTCAAGTCAGACCATGCATTTTTTTCTGATGACAATGGAATGAGCCTGGAAATTAATAACTGAAAATATGCAAACACATGGAGACTGAAAAACATGCTCCTGAATAAACAGTGAGTCATAGAAAACTCAGAGAAAGGGAAAAAAACATCCTAGAAACAAATCTCTCTCAAATATCTCTAAGCATTCCGCAACACTGTCCTCTAATTTTCTGTCTTGTCACACAGTGCAACATCAAAACTTATACATGTTAAGAGGAAAGTCTGAAATAATTAATCCTTATATCAAGAAAATGGGAAGGAATCACATAAACGATCTAACAGTACATTTTAAGGACCCAGAAAAACAAGAACAAACTAAACCTAAATTTAGTAGAAAGAAAAAAATAACTGAAATTAGAGAAGAAATAAAATTAAAACAAAAATCCAAAAGTCAGTGAATTGAAGAGCTGGCTTCTGAAAAAATGGGACTGATAACACCATTGGCCCAACTATCAAACAAGAAAGGTGGGAGAACACCCAAATAAATAAAATCAGAGGTGAAAAGGGAGATTTTACCATGGATACCACAGAAATCAAGACTCCTCAGGAGTTACTCCAAGCAACTACGTGCCCACGCTGATCAAGCTGGTTAAGTGGCAAAGCAGAGCAGGCAGAAGGCATCAGCCGTGGCCTTCTTGGGACTTCGTGGGGTCAGGCAGGAAAGAGCAGGGCAAACAGCCAAGGACCAGCCAGTTTGAAGATTTCCAGCAGGTTCTGGGGCTTTAGGGACTGTCTCTAGTTGCCTGGATTTTTGTTGACTCGGGCAGGGGCAATGTTGAGTCCATGTGTGAGAGCTAGATGGAGTGGCTGGAGTTAGACTCTGGACTTGTCAGTTTACTCAGGAAAGGTGTGTTCACCATTGAGTTGTTAAGTTAAACTCTCGAATGTCAAATAGATTTACATAGATGTCAATATAAAAACCACAGTCAGTACCCCCGCCCAGTTTAGTCACTAAGTTTTCTCTGACTCCAGGTCCTCTCTAGACACAAGTACTCATAAAAACAACAACACACACACACACATACACACTCACAAAAATGTAGGGCCAGTGAAAGCTTAGGCAACCAAAACAATGGGACAATCCGAATTCTGTAAGACTGTTTATCCATTATTATCTTTTCTTTCTAGAACTGTGAACACGTGTATCAATATATGAGAACCTCACCCTAAAAACCATCCAGCCCAGGCAATATCTGTGCTGAAAAAGATTCAGAAAAAAGCAAGATACTTTATTGGATTTAAAATATCTCTTCTTAGAAGAGGTGGAACAAGACAACCGCTGAGGAAGACAACCCTGGTGACACTCCCCATTTTGAACAGCTATTCATGGGCCAGCGCACAAGTTCCCTTCATAAAAGCTAAGGAAACAGAGGAGATCACAGACCTGGTATTGGCATAATCAACCAGGAAAGTTGCATTGAAGAAAGCAAGAAGCAAAGTGTTGCTTATATTGACCACTCCTTAGTTCCAAGAAATATAGCTGGGGGGCGGGGAGACTCAGTCCAGTCTTTGGACTTGAAGCTTTGTGTCAGGCTCATGTAATAAAATTCAGAGCTGTACAAGGATCTACAGATCTTCACAGCCAGACAGCCACCTGTTCCCCAGTCTTCAGCAGACAGCAGAGCAAGATGCCAGCTACTGTGGAGTAGAGCAGAAGGAGCTTAGGACCTTGCTCGGGGCCTCAGCAGGGTTACTGTCATGAGACTGACAGGCCCAGGGGCCTCTATTCACTGCTGGAGCTTGTGGACAGAGTCTCCAGACTCACCATTCACCACGATGTGAAGGACTTGTGCCAGTGTACATCACCTCTGGCCTCGTTTGCACCAGACATCACGGGGCCTGATGACTGTGAGACCTAGGTGTGACCCATTTTAATGCTAGTCTGGGGTCAAGGAACAGTGAACCTTGGGTAGCCAGCAGGGAATCACAGAACTATGTCCTGGGACTGAGCATTGAGCAACACTAGGCAGATTCTAAGTCTCATCCCTAGGCCAGAGCCCGTGGACGCAGTCTCTATATTTGGTTGCAGATGGCAGAGGTCTGCATCTTGGTGGGACAGAATGGTTTTAGATCATCTCATGTGAGCCCTGCCTGCACTCACAGCGCTGCTCAGGGCCTGGTGACCATGAGACCTACCTAGAACCTACCCAAGCACTTGGGGCAGCTGCCTCTACCAACCCTTGTCGACCCCCCAGCAAGACAGCAAGAAACTACAAGGCTGTTTTGGCACTTGGGGCCACATTGTAAAAACCCAACCCTGTGCAGATTCTAAAGGCTCCTGCTCCCAGGCCTGTGCCTGCAAATGGAGTCTCGGACTAGCTCTGGCTTCCAGCAGAATCCCTTGACTCCAGTCCATCAGTCTATGATCCCATCTAAGATGACCAGTGCATGGTGGGAGTGGCCTGGGCATCCACCTCAGGCTTCAGTTCTGACCTAATGCCAGCCCTTTCCTTTCTGAAATGCTCCTCTTGCTCATTCCGAGCAACACACCAACTGTGGACTTGGGACAAATCTGAGTTTGGGGAGTATGTGGCACTGAAGCTATAAGAATACACCAAGAGAAGATTTGTGGAAAGCCTCAGCTTAGGGTGCCATCTAGCTGAAATAACAGAAATGCCCACAGACTCAGAGAAATACAGCTTGGAAGGTCTGGAAGGAAGCTACACTTTAGTGAACAAACAACATTGTACATACAACAACAGAACTCAGGAACTTCTAGAA